AAATATGGTAGCTATACATATACACAACACAAAAACACTAATAAATCTGTTATTTTTCGACAAAGTCAACGACAACGAAAAATCACCATGAGAAACCGAAATCTACAATAATTTAAAATGCAACAGACTCGACTATGATAAAGTTAAAATAGTGATTGCCGGCCTAAAGAGCAGCACAGCGGCGGGGGACGATGGCTTACCTGGCGAGCTATTCAAATGTGGTCAGTGGCGCCCATCAAATATATTTTTAGTCTCATCGATCCTTTTTCCCGTCTGGACGTGGGCAAGACTCAGTGATATGAATTATGTTATTATAGAGATTGTGGTTTCATGCACCCGCTGTAGTACAAGTCATAAGGACCTACTATTTCGGCTTTGTCATCTGTCCTTTAGGTCATCAAAAGAGCAACAAAAATGTATATTAAGCCATTCAGTGCTACGCAAGCGGACGTAGGACGGCTCAACGTCAGAGTTCCGCGTAAATGCTTAAGTCATTCTTTCTGGTTGACCAAAAAAAATTTCCTACCTCTCTCAGAGTATCAAAGATTCTGAAAAAGCTCAAGCTGAATGCGACCGCTTGTTTTTAAGAGCCATTTTCTACTTATGAATTCCCGTAATTTATGCAATCGGCCCACTGTAAACTAAGACTCGTCTTCACATGTCGACAAACATCAACTGCGACTAAAAACAGGAGTCCAAGCTGTTTCTTTATGTTATAAAATTGTTTGGTGTAATTGTATAATATATGTTGCTATTGTTTTTGTAGCTTTCATTCCAATGCATACGTATATGTAAGTATGTAGTTGCATTTGTTACTGTTATTCATATAGCCGTTTTTGTTTTTATTGCAATTGAATGTAAGTGGAAACAATTGTAACGTAAAGATCAACGAGCCAAAGGAGGTACGAACGAAAAGGACTACACACGCAAACAAATAACAAATAAATACATAAAACCCAAAACAAAAGGGAAAGAGCTAACAACGGTTCAAGAGCAATTCAGGACAGAAGAACAAACAAACACACTCCCACATGCATGAATAATGGATAACAGTAGAATGTACAAGTAGATGAGGGAGGTATGAGGAGGGATTTGCCAGCCAATGAATTAAATTGAAAGCAAAAGCAAAAGTCAATGTAAAAATGCAATCGCAGCCAACTTCATACCATAATTGAGCAGTGGGCACGAATGGTTGAAACGAAAGGAAATTAAAAAAAAACCAGCGCGCACCAACAGCCATGTGAACAGCCCGAAAACAATTCAACTTGTGTTCATGTTGAGTAAAAGAAAAATAAAGGATATGGGAATTCCGCTACTCGCATGGACAAAGGCGAAAAAACAATGAGACGCGTAAGCTACACATGCGAAAACATGCAGAGCGACAGACCAATGTTGAGTGGAAAAGTGGTCAAGTACAAATGTAAATAAAGCGCCGAAAACCCAAGCGGTTAAAAGCAAATACCTGTAAGGGTGTGCTTGAATGTGAGTGTTGACTGGGTGTCCGTGTGCCGGCACGGGTGGTTGGTTAAATATGAAGAGACACTGAAAACATTCATATATGCACGAGCATGTGGGAGCCAGAGGGAAGAAGTACAAGCATGCCTGCATATATTTGTACTATAAAGCTATCCGTATCATACACTCACACACTCACATAGTCAACGCTCAAGGGGAATCCCCCAGGAGCGGGTTAAGCGTAGTATGCAACTTAAAGTTACAGGAATACAATTTGTGGCCAACGATTTTGGTGTACGTGCTTTCATTGGCAAGCACAAATGTTGATGACAGTGGTTAGCGGTACTTTTATAATGTGTCCACACGCTCTACAGGGGTTGTAAATCATCAAAAAATCAACCCAAATTGCCAGTGAAAGGCACTCATCGAAACAAAGGCTCGTCTGTGCAATAGTTGCAAGAGTAACAGCAGCGTGCTGGGACCACAGAGCAAAGGAAAAAGGCCAAAAACAACAGCGAAGTAGTGGAACAACACACGTGCATTACATATGTACAAGTCAAAAACTAACTGTCTGGTTGACTGACTGTCTGGCTGCCATTGCCACGGTGCAATGAGGCAAATGACAAGGAGTGAGGGGAAAATGTAAGAAAATAAAAGATATAAAAAGAAAAAAGAAATTAAACTTCAACAAAAAAAGCATTAAAATTAAAAAGCGCCAGAAGCTAAGCTCTTGCGCAGCGGATCAACGTAAAACAGGCAGCACACACAATCAGAATAGAATATGGCAGGACAGTGGTTGCTCAACCCACATACGCGCTCTTGACTGGGGGACCTGGAGTCGCGCACAGAAAAAGGCATGTCTGACGTGTGGTAAATAAAGCGAAAACAAAGGAATTTCACGCACATTTTTTTTGGAAAGTTTCAAATTACGCTATGCCGTTGTGTGGTAGTAACAGACGGTACCAAGAAATTAAGAAAAATTAAAGCACGCAGAGTGGGAGCAGAAATGGCAGTGAAAAATGTACAAATTAAACTACCTTGAAGCGCAAGTAACAGCATTGCGGTAGTTCCCGCCGCCTGTCGGTGTATGACAGTTAAAGCAAAACGCATTGCAACAGCTAGGTTGATATTCATTCCCCCAACCACAATGTCGATTTGTTGTCTTTCGTTTGCTAACACTTTAATACAACAAGAGCAAAAACATAAACTTATTTTTCGGCTGAAATTCAATTTACAGTGAAGCCAAAAATATAGAGTTTGTTACAACTTTGCCGTTACTCTTGGTTGGTTAACTGGCTGGTTGACTTGCTGCCTTTGCTGGTTTAATATATTACAGAGTAGAGTTTGCTGTATTGTAACTTTGCTGTATTATTATACTTTTTCAGTAGGAAATTAAATTATTTCAAGATGGCGTTCGTTTCGGTGCGTATGTATGTATTTAGACACCGGAATTGCGGAAATTAAGCAAAGAAGGAGAAATAAAATTGAATTAAAGTCAATGTGGCTGTAAGAACATGCCTTAACCGCGTGTTGCCTGCCGATATGACCAACTTTGTTAGCCAATAACGAACGAAGCTCTTAAGAACTAAAGAGGTAGTACAGCACTTGGAGTTGAAAAATATAAGTAAATTAAAGTACATAAGTGTATCGAAGCATCTGTTTTCAGTGGAAGTGTTTATTGTGCGAAATTAAATGAATGGACGTTTTCGAAAGGTAGGTGGAATTTGTTGAAAGCTTTCAAAATGTGCCGAAAGTACGGTGGATTTGTTATTCTTAAATATGTATATGTTCAATTTGGGTTTGTGGGAATTGAAGTACTTAATTTAAGGAGGATAATTTAAAGTAGTTTGTAAATGGATACTCGCTTTAAGAATATCCGTTTTCTATCCAAGGTCGCTACTTAACTGATTGAATGTGAAGTTGCTTTATTTATCAATCTTACAAACCACTCAAGCTCGACTCGTATAAAAAACATTGAAGTTATGAAGAATGGATTTACAAGTGGGTCAAATGAAGCCCCTATTAATCAAACCACCTAAGACTTTAACAATATCAAACGTTAGTCTACACTAAGAAAGTATTCTTTTGTGATTTACTAGTACATAAATTGTCCCCGGTTTACTCTTATGTTCCACGAAAATCTTCACATGAACTCAAATTATCACTTTCAGTGATAAATTGTAATTTTTTTTAAATATTATCAGGTGTACAACTTTGCTCCCGCCGTTTTCCGATAGGTGGCTGTACCGGCTAGGGCTGGTTGAAATACATAGATGATAATGCCTTTAAAGTGAGTGTGGAGAGTGCCTAACGAATTGTCATCGCCGTTTCGGTGACAGTTGTTCTTGTTTTCGTATTATTCACGCTCGAAAATGTCCGTTCATGTGCCTAATTCTCGCCATTGGCCGAAAGTTTTACTTTTCTGTTACAATTCGAAAAAAAATGCAGCTGAAGCGCATCGAATCGTAAGTGGTGATGAAAAGTGGGCTCGATACGATAATCCTAAACGCAGAAAATCATGTGGAATGCCCGGGCATGCTTCTTCGTCGAAGGCAAAACCATATATTCACGGCGCCAAGGTTATGATTTGTATTTGGTGCGATCAGCTCGGTGTGATTTACTACGAGCTCTTCAAACCGGGTCAAACCATCACAGGAGATCGCTACCGAACGCAACTGATGCGCCTTAGTCGCGCGCTAAAAGTAAAGCGGCCACAATATCAAGAGCGACATGACAAAGTCATCCTCCAACACGACAATGCTCGGCGTCACGTCGCAAAAGTGGTCAAAAAGTACCTGGCAACGCTGAAATGGGAAGTGTTGCCCCACCCGCCGTATTCCCCAGATGTCGCCCCTTCTGACTTCCACCTGTTCCGTTCGATGGCACACGGCCTGGCTGATCAACATTTTCAATCTTTCGAAGAATTGGAAAAATGGATTGCTTCATGGATAGCGTCAAAAGAGGATTCCTTTTTTCGAGCCGGGATCCGAAAACTGCCGGAAAGATGGAAGAAAGTTGTCGCTAGCGAAGGACAATACTTTGAATAATATATCTGTAAGCACTTTTTCGCAATAAAGCTTTTAATTTTGGAAAAAAACGGCGGAAGCAAAGTTGTACACCGATATTATTCTCACTTTCAAACGAAAGGAAGTTAAATAAATGTTATTAAAAAATAGAAAAGTTTATCTTTAATTTAAATATATAGATATATCTATAAAGGAAATGAATTCACAGATTGTAAAGTTATTTTATATTCCACTTCTGATTTAAGCTATCAAAAATAGCTTTGTAGCGCAAGAAAAATTTTTTTTTTTATTAATTTTTAGATCTGTAATTTAAAATTTGAATTTAAAAGTTCTTTTCATATTTCTCTTAGAATCTTCGTAAAAATAAATAGATAGGTTCTTATAAACTTAAATTATACGAAATGGGTCATTTTTAAAATTCTGCTGAAGATATTCGTAACATAATTTATTAACAAACAAAACAAAAATATTAAATAATAATATTAATATGGGCGTTTTCAGCTTCTCACAAGTACTTACCCATTTTGAGCGAATGTTAATGTCTGTGCGTGTTGTCTGAAAAATTTATACAATGAATTTCAGAATACTTGAATACTGGACAACAGCTGCGTGGCTACAACACCAATATTTACAGTATTTATATTTCAACACACAAGCGTATACGATTTTAAGACCGCTACCACTACAATTTTTTAATATTATTGTACACATACAAGTACAAAGGCATTTAAATATGAGTGTATAAAAACAAGTTAACACAAACACTAGTACACTATATGGGAATCAAGCACAGAACACTGACTTGCATGTTACTATGTATGTACATATGTATGGAAGCACGTTCAAAGGTGTTAAAGCCAAAAAAACTTCAATAAACGTAGAGTACCAGCAATGGAGCTACGGCAGGTAAAACACACACGGTCAATATCTGTTATACGCGTATAATGGTATATGTGTGTATGTGTGTAACGTTTGGTTAGCTCAAACGCAAATCAAGCGAGAGCACACGCTGTGCGCGCTATTCCACGCTTAGAGCAAACGAAGTTAATTTGTTCGCTTGACTTGACTGTTATGCAGCGAATTGGGCAGAATATTATAGTAGTGCTGGGGTTGACTTAAGCCGCCCGACGGTGTTGAGCTATACGACGATTTGCCCTGTGCAGTGGGGAGGTTGTGAAAACAGCGTAGTGCTCGTCGCTTCGAGTGGACTTAGTATAGTGGTACGAGTAGTACGGCTTATAGTTTTGTTTGTTTAATTATTGGTAAACAAGAGGCGGCGAAGCGGGTTGAATGAAAACTTGTTTTTTCTTTCGTCCAAATTTAAATTATTACAACCACAGAGTGGTGGGTGTCGTTTGCTTTTGCTGTTTCGTTACTGGTTATTATGCATTTCGTTATTGTGCTGTGCTAAATATATAAATAAATTTTTTATTTTTATTGCTTTACTTTATGAAAATATTGTCTTTATTTGGGTGTTTGCATTTACTTTTGTAATTTCGCTGTTGTTGAATATTTTATTAAACATTTCGCGCTTGTTTTATTTACACTACACTTCTTATGTATTTATTTGATTGTTGTGGAGCTTCAAGCGACATACTTATGTATATATAATATATATGTTTGCATTTATATAACATAAATTGATGCACATCCGTTGCTTTGATTCGTTGTTGTGTGAATTCAGCAGATTTTTATTTGCACGCGAATGAAGAAAAATGGCAAGCAGGCAGCTAGCGCTAAGGCATGAAAACACTTGTTTGCTACGTTCCCTTTTAGTGTTTATTTTCTTTTTTACACGTTAGCTTAGCGACGAGCTTGTAAATATTTGTGCTTTACATTGAAATATGTACGTATGTATGTACAATACGTAATCCATGGGTATTCAATATTACAAATATATTTGGTTTTATTATTGTAAAAATGCATTGATAATTGCATTAACAGAAATATCTATGTACGTAAATTTGTACATCAATTGTAAATATTTCAGCACAGCTGCGTTAAACGAACTCTTCTTTGTTTCTTTTCTTTATTTCTGAGCCGCCATTTTAATTTGTTTCATTATTTTTTTTTATTCGTTGCACTCAATTAATCTATTCTCCTAATTTCCCAATCGTCATACAAAGCATAACACAATCACATACACTGTCGCTTAACTGCTTGACTTTAACGTCTTTGACATTCTTTAGCACCGTCCACTAACCACCATTTGTTCAACATTTAATTTAGCACAATATTTTTTTTGCCTTTTTTAATTTTCGTTTTTCAACCACCAAATGCTGCATGAAGACGAAAAACAAAATATTTACTGTTTAAACGCGGCAAAGCTTGCGTCTTTCGTCATTTGTTCATCAAGTGTTGTTGATAAATAAAACTTCCTCTCACGAATGTCGAAAAGCTAGTGACTTTACCTATCCGGCCGCAGAATATTAAGTGCCGCTACGAACTACCACCACCAACAAGCGTCGCACGCAAACTGTCGCAAGCGCTGGCAATGCAAAAGTCAGCAACAGCAACCAACAAGCAAAATAATTGGCCAAAAGCAGCGGCAAGTTGCGTTTTATGAAGCAGCAGCAATGGAAGTTGGCCCGGCTGTGCTTGTAACGAAAACAACGACACCATTACAAACACTTGCGGGGAAGTGCGCAAAGGAAACGGAAGAAGCAAGGAAAACCTGTTTCATTTCGAACTTACAACACGAACATGTTTGATAGCGGCGCTTTTTGTATGATTTGAAAATAAAAATAAAATATAATTAATATCACAGTCACGAATTTAACACACTATTGTCATATTGTTGGGCTGACTCTTGAATTTATAATTCTATTGAACGTGTCCGTCACATTTGTAAGCTGTCAAAATGCAGCGAATAAAAGAAGAAATGCAATTTACGAATAAAAATTTTTAGATAGAAACAAATATGCTCACTTTTAATTACTTTTTATTATATTTATTATATTAACATTTACATACATACATACTTCTTTAATTTCACGACTTAACTAAATAATGTTTTCTTGTTAACATATGTTTGCACATATATTTTGTTATGGCTTGGTACAGGAACGCAGGAAGCCATGAGCTCTGTAACTGTCGCGGCAAAAATTGAAAGATGGCTGAATGTTGGCGAGCAAACAATTCTTGCTTGTCATTCACATTTGCATTTGTAAAAAGAAGTATATTTAAACATTTTATATTCTCACAAAAAGTCTGAGGCACTTCACAGATTGCTTTCATTGTAATTAGTAGTAACTACACTCATTTCCGGTTTCATCGGCTTCAAACCATATGCAAAGTGCACAGTTTGAGGGGCTTTGATACATTAAAATGCGTTTGAGGTTAATAAAGAAAATAAATACAAAAGAAAAAAGTCTTAGGCAATAATAGAAGAATATAAAATATGGTTAAACTTTAAACATCTTAAAGGCATTAAGGGAAGTTAACACTGAATTATGAAAATATATCAACTAGAGAACATTTTGTTTTTCACATTTCATAAGTACAGAAGAATTATCAGAAATTGTAAGCTGAGTTGGATTCAAAAATAACTATGTCTGCAGTTCTTAGAATGACTGTTTGTTTTGTTTATTTCAAGTTTAGGTTAAGAGAAACAGCAACGTTCATCAAAGTAAAATCCGCCTCAATACATTAAAAAAGCCTCAAGTTATAAGAATTTTTTGCTTTACAAGAAATTCGATAAAGTTGTTCGTTATAATGCATAATAAATATGCGGTTACATCTAAACCACAGTGCCCACAAGCAAACAAACACACGACTTGTATTTGAAAATGATAAATACGATTTATTTATTTTTGATTCATAAGTATTGGTATTATGTATGTATGAATAAGCAATACATTTTATGATAAAATTTTATGTTATTACAATTTTTTATATTTTTGTAGGTATTTCAATTGTTACTACATATTTTTTTAAAAATCAGCAAATATTGTAAAATTCACTTAAATTACTATCTTTGACATTTCCATTCATTTGCAATAAGTTTGCCAGAAAATTCAAATAATGTAAATTATAAATAAAGCAAAAACATTAAAGCGTACAAATATAAATTTGTATATGCAAGTGATATACATAAAAAAAAGTACAGATCTGTTAAGCCAGATAAGATAATAATAAAAAATATTACAAGCTTACACACACATATTAAGAATTCATTATATGAAGAAAGGAATGTTTTTTTAACAGATTAATAATACAGAATTTCAGCAAAAAAATACGCAAATAACAAATTGCATTATGCATGGTTTAATGAGCTATAAGTAGTACTAATATTTGTTTACTTAAGCAAGCGTTTATCATTTTTTTTTTTAATTTTTTTCAGTTTCTTTTTGCATAAGCCCAGCCTATTTTCTACACATTACGCCATCAATAAGCGTTTATCTGCCGCTCCAGTAGCAAACACGTCCATTTTCGAATGCTAAATTTATGCGTGGATATGGCAAGACTTTACCAATCTTAAATTGATTGAGGTTCGGTTCATCTTCGAAGTACATGCATTGCTTGACGAATTTCAAAAAGTTCTCATTCATTTGAGTTGCACGCTTTGGCAAAGTCTGCAGATTCTCATCGCCATGAAGTTTGCGTATAATTTGCTCACATATGCGTGTATTGCAATCGACATCAAAGAGTGGCACGCCAAAATTTACATCCAAAATGGTCCAGTCCTCAGTGGTGGTATCCTCACTTGATGTATCGGGGCTCTCCAAAATCGAATTTGTGTCGCTGTTGAGCGCTGCCACATTTATTGGTATTTCGACTGAACCTTGAGACACCAGTTCATGTTTGGCATTCGCTTTTGCCGCCAAATCAGCATCACATTTGGCCAATTCTGTTGCAAGCACTTCATTGCAATCTTCTGAAGTATATATATTCTTCGGTGAACCATTTTGTGGACTAACCGCAAAGTAGTTCTCATCAGGTGTTTTTAAAGCGCTACCACTGAGTGGTGAGATGCCCAAACGCGCAAAACTTGTCACTTCCGAACCATCTGCTGGCGATAGCAGGTCTTGCGGTTGATTAGTAGCTGATACTGTTATGGGTGCAGTTGCATTGGCAATCGCATTTGGCACGGTTTCTTGCGCGAGGTTCGCTGTTAATACGCCACTATTTGGTGAATTCACTGGTTTTGTTACTTTATTCTTTGGGGGTTTAAGATGTACTTGTAAATCAAACGATTCACATCCAATATCTGGCACACCCGTATTAAGGAATGTTATGTAACCACAATTATGTTCGAGATCCAAATAGTTGGACAATTGCTGTACCGCTTTGTGGTTAGCCCATTCTAATTGATGTGGATCGTTTCGATTGAACGGGAATGCTTCGTAACGCAATTGACCTGGTTGCCGAATACCGTAACCTTGCACAAGTATGCAACCATTTTTCAACTGATCGTTGAGATTACGGAAATTTTCAGAATTCAAGATGTACGAATCGGAATGCAGTATATTAACAAGCAACTTTCCATATCCGAGAAAGATGCGTGGTAGGGTTTTAAGTACAGTGCCGCGACAAAGGAAGAGACTTGGTGGGCCATAGCCTGCAAGGAATATACATTTAAAAAATTGTATGTCATTAAGCGATAAAATATTTCCGGGAATTTTTTTATTCAGCAGAGAAAATGAAATTAAAATTAATTGCACGAACCTGTTATATGATTGTAGAATAGTTTCGTCCACATATGAGAACTATCTGAGCTTCGGTAGTATTGTCCGAAAAATGGAATGCTAAAGATATGTGAAAGTGTAGCCGTGAGCGGTGTGGCAGATATTATGAATTTATATTTCTTTTCGAGGACACGATCCCGTGTTTTCTGATCCAAACATTCCAAACACTCCAGGCGTAGTAAATCCAAACCACCGGGCAATAAATTACGCAAAGAGCAAATCGTCGACCTCAAAATAACTGCGTGTGCGAAATACCTCGAAACATCACCTTCACCTTCGGCATCGAGTAGTGAAACTTTTTCCAACTCAGCCAAAAATGAATCCATGCTTTCCTCACACAGTTTGCCCACCTCGAACATTGTGACAGCATGATTTTTCAAACCAGGTGACAAGTTGCCCATCATCAAAAACGCAGTTAGTGTGGAATCGAAGAGGAAACCAACACGTCTTCCAGTCTTCTCTGCCACAGTGTGTACTTTGCCACCACTCTTTGGCGTAGAGGGCAACTCTTTGACACTTAACTTTGTAGTACTCTCACTTAAGTCGTCCAATTCAGAACTGATTTCATGCTCCTCCGAATTATTATTTTCACCACTACCTTGCATTGCTTGCGGCGAGGGTGATGGCATATTAGCAAAACTGAAGTCGCTCGTATTACCATCAGATGAGAGATAGCCAATAGAACTGCTGTCTTTGTCCTGCGATTTTATTAAAACAGGGCTATATTGTGATGCTTCCGTTTGTTCAGCTGTTGCCTCGGATGTGATAAAGTTATTATAATTGAGCGGTGTTATCTGAGGTGGTTCACGCGTCGTCGATTGTTCCAACTGGTATTGCTCCCAACTTGCATGATACTTTATATCATTGCTGGGACTGTCGCCGACGACGTCTTTGCGTCTTGAGAAGCCTAAACGACAGAGAAGTGATACCGCTTGCTTAACTGCATCCAAATCGACTTGCAACATTTGTGCCAACTCTGAGATGGTCATATGCTCATCTGCACTAACAAATATTTTATAAAGTAGATTTTCGAAATGATCACCACTTGTGCGATTCATTACAAAATTACGCAGAGGTGGTATGCTAATACGATCTTCACCTGATATGGGTATATCTAAATATACCAATCCTTTACGATACAAACTATGCACGACACCATAATCGCATTTTCCAGCGGTTTGAGATCCGAAATCAATAAGATCATCGATAAGACTGCGTTCTGCGGTTGTTACAAACCTTATATCTGCTTCCAACACGTAACCAACTTCGATACGCCACCACGGCTCTATACGTACACGTACAGGAAAACGTGGCAAGAAATCTAGTGGATTCGGCTTGGCGCTAAAGAGTAATGCACGCGTTGTATGTGTCTTCAGATTGCTTATCAGTGATAAGTATTCATTACGCCCTATGCCCAAAACTCGCAAGCAATCTGCGGCGGTGAAATTTGGTAATGTGTCATATGACTTATCATTGCGGAGCAATTGACTTAATAAATCAAGATAATAGTTAAATGGCGTTACCCGAAGTCCTTTCGTAATAATGTCAGCCAAATGATATGGAAATAGCAACAAGCCGCTGATACTCTTCTGCACAAGTAATTCATAGTATCGTTGTTCGTTGCGGAAAACCTTGGATGCAAGGTTACCACGAAAACGTAACTGGTTCTTCAGGCTGTAATTAAAAACGTATTTTTCATAGTCGAGTTGATTATTGTGCAGCACCTGCTTTAGGTGTATCGGCACGGTTGCCCACGGTATGTTTTGACGTACGCAATTGCCAATATCTTCAGACACCTTCTCCGACATCATTTTTTTCTTTCAGCACACTTACGCGTTCTTACGTTTTTTTTTTTTTTATAATTTAACAAGCGTAGAGCGATATTCTTGCATTTTACGTCCAAAGAAACGCGATATATTTGGCACAAATTTGGAAAGCAATATTTTCGCTTTTATTTACTTATAGAAAATAGGGCTAAAAGTGAATTGGTTGTAGCAAAGTTTTCACACGCACAGCTGACATTTACATGTAAGTTTTGTTTGTGTTTGTTTTTATCAATATTTATTTTTACTTGACATTTCCTTATCGGTGGAGCAGTGGAGCAAGTTGAGTTTGCAAAGGAATAACAAGTGATGGGTTGGAAATTTTAAAAACATTCATACGTCGGTTAAATTCTTTAACGGTTCTCTTTTAATGTTTAAATTTTTTCTTTTCGAAAGATACAGGATATGATTTTATTGTTTACATGGAGTATTTAAAAACATCTTTGTTTAAAAAAAAAAAAAAAAACGATTCGAGGTATATAAAAATAAAATATTTTCAATCAAGTTTTTAACTTTTAGTATAATACTGCAAACAAATTTGGTGATTTTCTCCGATCGAGTTTCTTTGGAATAAAAACCGTTCAACGATAGCATTGGACTACCAACTCAGCTTAAAATCCTCTGGTTTTAATTATTTAATTCCGTCTTTCAAGGAATCGAATTTACATATGAACTGCTTTCATCGGGAGATCATCAATCACTCAAGAGAAAATTCTTGTTTTTAGAGGAAGATTATTTTAAACGTTTAAACGGTTAATATAAGTCTGTATAACCCTAATCTGATAATACACCGACTTAATGGTTTCTAGTACTTTTCACTCCCTCTGTTTAACATTTTTTAAAAATCCTACATATTTATTGCAACCCTGAGTGAATGATTTTTAGAATTTTTTTTGGCAGTTGATGGTAGCACAAGAAGACAATTTCTTCAACTATTTTCTTCCACAACTTTCTTAATAATATTAGCCAAAAGTGCTAGTTAAATATATTACAAATATACTGTTTCATAAATATTTATTTATTAATATAATTGAAATTTGATATACAATAACAACAATTGCTTAGTGCTGGTAATTGTGGAATAAAGTGTGTAAAAGTAAGAGAAGACGACAGGATCAATCGATTTTTTTTTGCATAGAGAATTCCTCAAAGTGGTAGCAGTGTAGCAGGAAACAAGTCGAAGTCATTCAGGCAATAAACAACACAAGAGTACACGCCTTTAGGTAGAACTACCATTGATAAGTTAATGTGGGCAGCTTGATGCGCCTGGAAACATATTCTACTATAGAAGCAATTAGCGATTATAAAAATAAATACATACGGTAACTTGAAAAGATTGAAGTACTGTGACCACAACGCCACTTGATGAACGCGGAGAAAGAACAGAAAGAAGCCATTGGCGACGAAACTTCAAAGTGAATACATTTACTTTTAGAATTAAAATTCTTATGTGATTTTTACGTCAATTATTTTTTTATTCTCTCTTAGCATTAATGAAGATTCGCCAACTGCTAGTCATAATAACTCCAACAGCTCAACAAGTCAAAACCAACAAATACACGATCAGCAGCACCAACGTCAGCCGCTGCATTCACCAATACAGAACACGCGCAACACGAATCCAGATATGAAACGTTCGGCAGTCAAAGAACTAATAGAACGTTATTTCTATCAACTTCAGCGTGGTTGCGGCAACCCAAAATGTTTAAATCAAAATTGTGCTTCAAGCGGCCAGGTGGCGCCAATGAATCCAAATGAAATTGCTGCACGCGCTATACAACTTTTTTCACAAGACGCAAAACTATGTGATTTTAACAGTCAACCACCGAAAGTACCGCGCACCCAAAATGACTCACCGTCGAGGTAAATAATATACAAATCAACATTTTGCATGAGCATCACACCCACTTAATGTCCTTTATTGTTTATATAATTTTTGCTTTGCCTGTACACTCTTTCATCCTTTGTTTTAGTTCACATTCAGCAAGTTCAGCAGCCACAACCCCCAGCAATCAAGACTCCGAAATGCTTTCGCCTAACGAGAGTAGCACGAGCAGCACCAGTAGTACCACCAGCACTACTAGCAGCAGTGGAAATAGCACCATCACCTCTGGCAGTGGTAGTGTACAAAGCCAAGACAGTCAACAGAGCAGTGTAAGCAATATTGCAGGCGCAGGCGTTCCTACCATTGCTGGGTTGGGCGGCGGTGGTGGTGATGCCGATACGGCTATTGTCTCCTCATCCGGCGTATCCCCACAAAGTCGTATTAATTCAAATAGAAGTATTGAAAACAGTGGTGCGGAAGCAGTTGATATGTGTCAGTTAGAGATACTCTGCAATGCCGCAGTTGAAGGTAGCGATTTGCTGAAAACACACTCCTCAACGGAGAGTAGCGAAAACGCAATGGATGTCAGTGTACCAGCAGCGCGTGCCGCGTCAGGACCTCCAACGCCTACATTTGCACCTGTTCTATACTTGAATGAGGCGTTGCTCGATGAACTGCTGGACGAGTGTAAAAAGTTTAATACCTACGATCGACTATTACACGCCATAAACGAAGTTTATCCGCATGTCGATCGCTTGAGTAAAAGTTTCCGTCGTCCTTCCCTCTCTGCACTCTCCACACAGTTAACTTCTAGTGCAACTGCTTCAAAGCTGCAAGAACTTTTAGGTAAGTCACCCACAGATCTAAAGAAAGAAGACTTGCGTACGTTAGAGGGCGAGACTGACAAGGATGAAGATAGCACTTGTGTATCGGTACATCACGTGCCACAAGTATGTATTGACGGCGATGACGAGCCAATGGATGAGGATGCAGCATCTGATGGTTTTTCGAGCGCAGGTGCTGCGGCTGCAGGGAATGCAGCTGACAACGAGGACGATATACAGTCGAGCAGTAGTGAAACATTAGTAGATTTGGAGAGTTTAAGACGCGTTAAAAAGAAATTATTTGCATTGAACATAACAAGCATTGGTGAGGCGTTGAATAGTAACATAATATTGCTGGCGGAGAGCATATGCTATGGACGTGAAGCGGATTGGGAAAATGTGCTGCATTGTCTGGTGATTTGTTTTGATATGGCGACAAATAGTAAGTGAAACATGAGATAATCTTCTATACATACATTTATGACTTATTCAGTACTTAATTTAAAATTATTTTTCTTCCTCAGCTTCCAACACCTTTGCTGACTTAGAATATTTAGAACGTTCATTACCCAAACTGTGCCACGCTACACGCATACTACCAGTAGCCGCTCAGGCGCGTCTTGCCAGAATTTGGGCAGCTCACTGTAAGGATCAAATGCAATCATTAGTTCAGTGCTGTCAGCAATTGATCACCCTACAAGTAATACTAGACGAAGATACAGTACAGGAAAATCCTGATGTGATTGCGGTTACCCGTGTGCTCAAGGTGCTTAAATTTTGAAACGTTATTTTTAATAATTTCAGTAGTAATTCCTTTTTTTTACACTTAGATTGCCTTCTACGCCAACCTCTTAGCCGGCGAGTTGGATACCAGCTCTATTAATGCTCACAAGCTATTGGCCAGTACCGCCGATGCCGATACATCTTCGAATACCGATACTAACAACGATGAGGATGATATATTTTTCTATACTCAAGTACCTAAATCTCAACTGAAATTTACGGAGGATAAACTAGAGAAAGAGTTAGGTATATCGAGCATGGACTGTCGTGTGCCGTTGGTGCCATGTGAAGAGTTCTACAATGAACCGCTAAGCGATGCCATACAAATGGATCGCGATTATTTATCATATAGGAATTTGTCGTTAAATCCTAATAATGAGGGTATGCAAGATGCTTTGTTTATGCTACTACAAGTAAATTCTATATTAATCATTTTTTATTATTATACAGATGTCCATTTCTCCTTTATGCTGTATTCCTTTATATTAACACCCGCTACAAAGGTCATTGCTCTGTACTATGATAGTCGCATACGTATGTATAGCGAAAGAAATTCATCTTTGTATTCTTTGTTGAATTCATTTGCTGATGGTAGTGAGCTTGGAGCAAGGCCTGATTTAAAATTGAAAGTGCGACGTGATAATATTATAGATGATGCGCTCATTGGGGTAAATACATAGTTAGATGCTTAGAAATGATATTAAAAACAATAACAAATTTCTTCTTCATTTAGCTCGAATTGGTGGCTATGAGTAATCCAAAAGACTTAAAGAAACAATTAGTAGTAGAGTTTGTAGGCGAACAGGGTATCGATGAAGGTGGCGTTTCCAAAGAATTTTTTCAATTAATTATCGAAGAGATATTTAATCCGGATTATGGCATGTTTGTTCACCAGGAGGATACTAATACAGTATGGTGAGTAAAATAATAAAACAGATAAGAGCAATTTATATGTATATCGTTTATTTTATTTCTAGGTTCAATTCCGCACCCTTCGAAAATGAGGCTCAGTTCACGTTGATCGGCATTATTTTAGGTTTAGCTATTTACAATAACATCATATTGGCTGTGAATTTTCCTATGGTCGTCTATCGTAAATTAATGGGTGGTGTTGGCACATTTTACGATTTGAAATATTGGTCACCAACATTGTATAGAAGTCTGAAATCAATGCTCGATTATCAAGAAGCCGATATGGAAGAGGTTTTCATGCAAACATTCAAAATCAGTTACAATGATGTATTCGGTGAAGTTGTTGAACATGAATTGAAACCCGATGGTGGTGATATAGTAGTGGGTCAACATAATAAACAAGAATTTGTTGATATGTATAGCGATTACTTGCTGAATAAGAGCATTGAACGACAATTTAAAGCTTTTAAAAAAGGTTTCGAAATGGTCACAGATGAGTCACCATTGAAATTACTATTTAGGCCGGAGGAGATTGAGTTACTCGTTTGTGGTAGTAGAGTAAGTAAAATGAAGATTTTTTATGCTTAAAATTGTATTATTAATTATTTTTCTATAAATGTAGAAGTTCGATTTTATTGAATTGGAAAAATCTACCGAATACGAGGGTGGTTACACAAAGGACTCTCAAATAATCAAAGACTTTTGGAGTATTGTACACGCTATGCCCGAGGATTCTAAGCGTAAATTACTCGAATTCACAACCGGCTCAGATCGTGTGCCTGTGGGTGGCTTAAGCCGTCTCAAACTGTTAATCACACGTCACGGTTCCGACAGCGATCGCCTGCCCACCTCGCATACTTGCTTCAATGTATTATTGCTGCCTGAGTATAGCAGTCGAGAGAAATTGGAGGAACGTTTACTCAAAGCGATTAACTATTCGAAAGGTTTTGGCATGTTGTAAACCAAAGCTTCAACGACAAACGACAAAGGAAATTCCCATATCGATGTGTATTGCAGGAAAGAAGATGAGCATGATATAATTAGGCGTGTTTGCGGAACAAAAAAATGGGGCGTGCGTATAAGTGGACGCAACGAATGTTGTTCTTACAAGTTTTCCTTTTTTATATGCGCATTTCTTTCAATTTTTATACATTTTTTTTCGGTTATTTCCCCTTGCTTTATATGTTTTAAATTCAACTGATTTTTAATGATTTTCGACAGCTTATGAAGACTTGTCTTTATTTTAAGCGTATATACATATTATATATTTTTTGAGCGTTTAACAAACATGCATATGCACACGTGCATATATACCAACATGCGTACATACATATGAATATATAAGTATATGTAGTTACAAAAGACATTTCTTTAGACGAGGCAAGCAGTGAGGTAATTTACAAAAAAAAAAAAAAAAAAAAAACGCAAAGAAATTAAAGCTTCCTAACAAATTATGATTTCGATAAAAAAAAGCGTTTATAATAATTTAATTTTTTAGTCATTCTAGAAAACCTACAGACCTTAATTGCAAGTTGATAATTTGTATACAAACATGCATTTTACGTGAAATGTAAAAGGCCGCAAATTGAATTTACCATGAAAGCTAAATATTTTGTAAGATGTAGAGCATTTTCAAAGAAAAAAGCTTTTTAATAACGTTAATAAGCTACATATATACACATTTTTTTTTGATATCTGAAAAGCGAATTTTAGATTTTTTTGTTATTTGCGACTTTTGTATTTCACCCTATCATATGTGTGTTTGTCTAAAATAATTATATTTATTTTTCGTTATTTTCTCATCAATTTTATATACGCATATGTATGTACATAAATACATACAAATAATTAATTAAAAACCCTAAAACAAACAAACACGAGTGCCACCCCAAACCAATCTTTACACCACACAAAACATAATCATAGCAAGAACAACAAAACAAAACATTTATTTCCGTTTGTACATGTATATATAAAAGAAAGTTATTTTTTAAATCGACTGTTTTTGAACTTTGATTTAAAAAAATTCTCCTTTTCTAGAAACCTTGTGAAAAAATGGTATGCAAATAAAAAATTAATGCTATTTAACTGCATATACAACAGTAGCGAAAGTTTGTTATTATTTATTAGTAGTGAAAGTGTCGTGGGTCTAGTCGTCAAAACGGTAGTACTCAATCTTCCTGAAATTACCCGATTTTCATACATATATATCTTAAATTGACTCGAATCCCTCGAAACAGTTAGTTAGGTCTCCTGTCGGATGACCTCAACGCCATATACTACTTTTGCCAGGGATAAATTGGATATGTTATAATATGAGCATCAACATCTGAATTTTCATGACGTGGAGACTCACCACAACAGTGTTGTTTCGTTGTTGCTGTAACGAATATATGACAATAGCACAAGCAAATAAAATAAAATTTTAAAATATTCACTGTGTACTTTTACACAAACAACTATCTGGCAGCATTGCGCTTACAGCTGATGCGCAGCTAGTGTTGCAAGCGCAACCAAATTTTCCCTACACTAAAACTAAACAAAAATGACTTGTTTATTCTTATCGCTGTGTGAGCAATGTTTTAAAGTCTGTTTGATAGCCCCCCTTTTGATTAAGTTTTACGCTCATTCGTACGTTTGGTTTCGCTGAAAGTTGTTGTGACTGTGTGTTTTCCATACTTGTCTCAACACTGATCGTCTTAAAGGGAGCTTGGCGCTTCTTGGCTATCAGACGTTTAGCAGTGCTCGAGTGTATTGGTCACGTAGTGCTCCGGTTGTTGTATTCATTGAAAGATTGTAAATTTATTTTGTGTTTGCATATGAATTCCCAGTGAACGCGATTATATTTCAAAATTAATGGTTTTTAAGTGAAGCGGGATTTCCTCGAATAAAAGTGTATAATTTTAAGCAAATTATGCAGTTATTAGAACAACAAGTGTTTAGCTTTAAGTTATTATTGCTGCTTGGTGTTTTGTCCTGTTGCAATTGGGCGTCAACGACTGCAGTGACGGCGGATGCGAGCAACGATGCAGCAGCAGAGGAAGGCGGTCAGTAGCTGGAAAATATATTTCATTTCATTATATTATTTGGTATCACTTGTACATGGTATGTACAATGAGATCACTTTGCTATTTGTATTCCGATTCCGGTGTACATTAGAGTCCATTTCACTGTGTGCCCAAATGTGCTTATATTTCCAGAACAATCAGGCGCTGATTGGTGGTGCAGTAATACATACGACTCTATAAAAGATATATCCTGAGTTTGTGTTCACTCATGTATTGCACTTTTAATTACTTAGTGCTCTTATATATCTTATATACATTCATACATGCATATATACACACATACGTACGTGTTTATGTACATACCGACAATTTGTTTATATTGTTTCATTTCTTTTATTTTTGTTTCTGTTTCTTGGTGTGCTTTGTTTATCTTATTGTTGTTGTTGTTAAGCGTTCTGATATAGTCGTACATGTGTACTTTAATTCACATATCTATACACAAATGTAGTGTTTGTCTTGGCGTCTTAAATGTTTTCTTTTGAAAATATCTGGATTGCGGTTAGTTGATCTCTTTGTCAGAAAATTTCATATCTGGTATTTAGGTGTGTAGTTCCTCTTACGGCAAGAAGTTTATTCAACTTTCCTGTTATAACTTTTTACTTCTACCTCGTACACCAAAGCGAAGCCTGGACTACGGACCCTCTCGACGGCATATCTTCAATTTAGTTTCATGCAAAAATATGTGAAAAAGTAGCCTACCTAGTTACCTTCATGCCGGTTAACCAAGTACATGCCTCCACGGTCCAACGGACGTCCTCGCAGCATGACTCCCTCGGGTTTCAACGAAATACGTGAGAATCAAAAGCCAGAGAATGGTGATGGTTTGTCATCCATTCTGCACAATACACAATATAAAATGTCAGTGAATGTCCAGCTCGAAAAATTTAATATATAACCAATTGGGTTTTGGGCGGCTTTAAGAGGCATCACGATATTTGGTATTTTAGTCCATAAAATGACCATAGAGAAATGGAGTTGACGAAACAAGTAGACCATTTTCCATAGCACGACCGCTGCGCCGGCACCATCCAGACGGGATGCATTGCGTAAATTTTAACAAAATTTCCATGCTGAGGTGGCGGGACTGCCATATGCCAATTCAAGAGGTGATACCCCCAAATCAGAGAACTCAATATTGGCGAACCGTTGTAAACGGATCAAGTCGGAAGAATACTTTAGGTGCTCCAAGGTCTCCCCCGACGACGCAATGACCGTGTGCAAATTTTATTGGGTTAACCAGTCTCTTCAAACTCTAAAAAGTGCACGAAATATGAACCTTATCCAATTTTTCATACTGCATTGTAAACAGAACAAATGATCGGGAAGTATGAAGCCTCCTAGACCATCATCATCTCAGGAAATAAACGTGCTGACGTCTCTGACCACTCGACCGGCATGTGGTTCTGCTATTGAAGACTAGGAAATTCGTCAACTAAGGGGAGTCCAGTCGCGCACTACCTTCCCCTATCCAGTAACAAACACTTAAGACCTTCTCTTCTCTTCGACTTCCTCATTTCTTCACTGCCCCTCCTGACATAGCGAAACACCTATGTTCGCTTTTAAGTAGCTTAAATTTACCCTACGCATGTGGTATCCATTGGTATGCTACCGCAATCATAAACCAACCAAGTTCTAGGTAATGCAATAGACCCAACCCCTACTCGTGTCCCACAATCAATGAGATCCAGCACGGCACCAAACACCACTTTTGAAATCGCTCATCTCTCTGATCCAATCCTGTCAAAGCAGCTGGATTCCTGAGTATATACAATAATATTTTAGCCTGCTTCTAAACGGGTTGGCTTGGTATACTACAACAGCAACAAAAACCAAATGGTGCCTTGAACTCGTTTGAACCTTTCTTAAGAGGAGAGCAGTTTAATATTATTTCTGAAGAAAATTAAGACTTTTTTGGCCACATTTTTTTCCTTCTTTCTACTACAGAGACGTGAAGGGATGCGATCAAAATATTTAAATTTGATTAAAAAGTATAAAAAGTAGCAGGTTTTTACAATTAACAAGTTTTTTTTGCTATCAAATAAGCCCATTAACATACATACAAATGTACATATGTAAAATCATTTCCTTTGTTATTTTTTTTTAGAATTGTTAATCTATTTCACATACTAATACAATGTAAAATGGTTGCCGACATCTATGCTTTGACATACTATAGTCACGAGTATGTATGTACATATATGTATAATGAATATATAATACAATTTTGGTTGTATATAAAGTATATGTATGTATATATGTACTCCTATGTATGTGCCTATATAAAATCATAACTTTTTGATGTCCATCATCTGGTTCTAATTCAACATCTGTTTGTTACCATTCTCCATGGATGAGTAGTATATAGTTTTTATGCACTCATATATGTATACTCGTACATACATATTTTTGCAGTCTAAACCGGCAATGAATGTGCGCGACACAATTTAATTGTCTTCAATGAAGTGATAATTGAATTCAAATTTGCTTACACTGAAAACAAAATTTTGAAATGAACAATAATTTAGAACTGTCTTAGAAAAGATGTACTAAGAGCGACAATTGAGGTTGGGTTCCCCAGTAAGTCTTATGGCGAATGGTCGCCGAAAAAACGGTAGACAACCTCAATGCATCCGACCAGCAGTCATGGCAGTCTCACTCATCTAACGCTCTCCTTTTAGTTCTGACCCGTTGCTATTGTCGTAGTTTTAACCGCAAAAACATTCACTAAACTTAGTTTTTGAATTTCTTTAGTAGGGACTGTTTTCACTCGAAACTGCTTGGTTTTTGGGCTTTCTTTAAGATGTCACCTTCTAATATATTATTGTATTCGTTTGTTATTGCCGTAGTAAATAGTTTATCAGGTGTCTGTTTGTGCATATTCTTACCGCTCGATATCGATTGTACTTTCTTTTCCCTCTTTTCCAACATTTTAGATAATAAAAGCTTGGTTCATATAAGAAAGATAACAGCTGAGATGTAATCCAGCTTTGAAATAAACTCTTTTAATTTTACGACACTAGAACAGTTCGGAGCAAATTATTTCAATTTCTCAGTTGGAATATAGCTTTGGTCAAAATTAAAAATCTTTAACTTCTACATTCAACATCTTTGAGGCACTTTTTTACCCCCTCAGTCTATCACTCCTCTGATAAGTCCTCGGCGGTATTCATCGCATTCACCGTCCGGCATGCCGATTGTGATTACCTCTCACTCTCGATTATTATCTTTGACTTTATTGTGCTCAAACTGCTCTGCCGTTAGCGCTCACCTTCTCCTCCCACTTCTCTAGAGCTAGGAAAAGGTTCGTTCGTCTATGTAGTGATGTATATGAGCTGAGAGACTAGATTTTTTTAAGACCGATCTTGTAGGCCATATTTTCATACATAACGATTGATCAAAATTACTAAATTACAAAATTACAATGAGAAATATGTATGTATTTAAATTGAAAATGATCCTTTTCTCTCCCCTGACCTATAACGCGGTCATTAGTAGATCCGCTTAATTAATAAAATATGAATATTTAACAGTCACATTTGGAGGACTTTTATTGACCTCAGTAATTTTTGTATATTTTTTTTATATATTTTACATATATAAACATATATACGAGTATATGTTTCACATAAAATAAGCCTGTTTGGCAAATGTAATAAACACCGCCTAGAATTGTCAACTGCACGCCAAGCGCTGCAATGAAGATGTAATAAAATATCTATTAAATGTACGAGTATACACTTAACATATTTTACACATGACCAAGAATACACAGCACAGTTAGTAAATATATATACCTGTTTGTATATTTGTAAAGTATAATTTAACTTAAGATATATATATTTTTTTATATTTTCAGCAAAACACATAAAAGTCTTCACCGTAGCGACGGAACGCACCGATGGATATTTGCGTTATCTGCGTTCAGCGAAGCGTGTCTATGATGTTGAGGTGAGTAAAAAGAATATAAAAACATGTATTTTTGAGTAGAAAAACAAAATATATTAAGGAAAAATAAAATAAATATTTAAAAATGTAAGGACATTAAGAGAAACCAAAAATTCAAGCACCAAAAATGTGTCGACAGGAATTTGTATTGAAACTTCCATCCAATGGATGAATTTTGGGAAATTTTACGCTAATGTCAGTTATTAAATAATGCCAATTCATTTGAATTTTATTTTTATCCAATGCATTACAGTCAGATGTTAAATAAAATAAGTTTGAAGTAATCATAAAATACATCAATTTTTAATGCTGCAATATTTTCATCTAATCGATGAATATTTTTAATTTTTAATATATATTTCTGGCAACTAGAATTTAATCAAATTAAGCTGAATATTTAATATTTTTTTCATAGCATTTTATGAACATACATAACAGAAAATAATAATTTTAATTAAAAAATACTAATTTGATGAATAAAACAATATTTTCGAATAAAGAAAATTTACTATACTTCTTTAGAAAAAAATATTGAGCGTACCATAATTGTACAGATATTATAAAAAAATGCTGTTAAAGTGATTTAAATTTTAATAATGAAACATTTTAGTTAAAAAAAAATTAAACAAATTTAGCACCAGAACAAAAGTGACGTGACTGCGATTGCATAAACCCAAGCTAGTTTTCACTCATAAATATTTATTCTCAAAATTTATTACTACAATAGTTTATTTGACAGCGAACATCGGTAACGATAGTTATCTCAGTGCTATTATCAACATATTTCGCGAACGCAAAAAAAAAATAAAAAGCAAAAAAATAAAATAAAAAAAAAATAAAATTAAAAGACACTAATAATAATAAAAAAAAAACAATTAGATATTAACTCGGGCTGCTAAAAGCTAATTTGTACTAGAGACTGTTGAATTTCAACATTAATGGCTATAACGAGTTTCTTTGGCGTTTTCTGCGTATTAATGTTTTGTTTTCATTTTGCTTCTTCGAAAACCTCTTAACGCAAAATGCATTGAGTTGGATTGCAAAAAAAAAAAAAAAAAATAGAAGAAAAATAGCAATTAAAAATTTAAATAAAGACATTAATAGATTACCACTTAGAATTGGTTGCATTAAGCGTTTTAGCAGAAAATCGGCAATGAGGTGGGGTAGCGCAGAGAAAATCACTTAAGGATACAGATTAGATAAGTGATTTGTTTTTATGTGATTTTGGGTGAGAAAATATTGTACGCAAATTAATAGAGATTTTTTCGAGCAGTAGCAATGGGTAATGTATTGATTTTTATCATTAAATTCTGCCGGATATTGAGAGCAAAAAAATTTTGTATAGACAAACGAGTGATATACAAAAAGACAGTGGGAAGCAAAAATTCAAAAGTGGTACGCAAGCTATGAACAGCAGAAATTAAAAAATTAACTATCATATATACATACATATGTATTAATGCACAATTAAAAATTTCATTCAATCGATGAACGCTTTATGTAGCTTCTAAAATGACGCTTGGCTATTTCCAAAAACATTTATTCACAATTTTGTTTTTGTTCAAAATTTCATCGATTCGATGAATATATCAGAATTTTATTCCTGTGCGTTAAAATTTGCTAAAAGTTTATATTTGTTAATTATTCATCGATTAAAAAAAGCTTATTTCAATAAACTCTAAAAATGTTTTTTTTTTTTTGGATTTTTACGTAAATGAAAATAATAAAAATTTATTAATATCTACAAGTACTTATGTATGTATATAATTTAAAATGTTGTTTGTTTAAATTTGATGATAGCTTAATTTTTTTTTACGTTCACCCCATACTTCTTCTAACATACAAATGTTTTATGAAAATTTCGTTAATTCATAGTTTTTTAAAATCGTGGAATTTTTATTAAAAATACGTTGTTAGCGATAAAAATACATTCATATGTATGTAATTTAATAAAGAAAATTTTACTGGGCTTATTAACTTACTGTGTTAAATAAAAATTAATAAAAAGGAGAATTCCATTCGATGAATTTTCGAAAAAATTAAAATTAATCATTGTAAGTTTTGTTTTCATGAAATTACATTTTATCGATAATTTTGTGAATTTATTAAAATTTTTAACGCAATTAATTTATACAATTGATGTATTTTTATAATTTTTGTATATATCTTTTTTTTACTAACTAAACCTGTTCACCTAAGCATTTATTATTTTATAAAACTTAGATAAGGTATACATCTATTCAATGAATATTTTTGTAGTAGTATAAAGAACGACCGGCAATATTAATCTTAGTTTTTTAGCTTTTTCAGTCAAATCTATTAAGAGTAAAAATCTATGTGGAATAAAATTTAAAAAATAATAAAACTAAAAACCGTTTCAAGATATACATATAAAGCAAGATATAGATATATATATTTCAAGATATACTTATAAAGCATAAAGTTATTGAATTTTGTAAAATATTAAAAGTTTTATGTAGATAATTTTTATATAAGAGAATAAAATGTGTGCATATACATACATATTTATATAGATAGTAATAAATAAAAAATAAATAACTAAATTTCTGAGTGTGAATCTAATCGATGAAAATTAAGTATAAGATGTACATACTATGGCCAGGCTTTTTATCTTTTTTTATATAAATATTAGAGCACAAATTATTTATAAATTAAAAATTAAAAATCAGCATATAGAGTTCCTCCAATTGATGATTTTTCGAGTATATACTTCTATTTTCATACCAACCTACATATGAATTATTTTTAAAAAGCTTAAAAATTCAAGTTTAAATCGGTGAAAATTGAATAAAATTATGTCAGGTTTTTTTTATTTTTGACCTGTTAAAACTGTAAAGGAGTACATACGAATATGTAGGCATAGTCTTTTTTATTTAGCGGATTTATTGAACTTACTTTTGCACTTTTGATTTTATTTATATATTTGCATGTATGTACTAATAAATATGTATGAGTTTAATATTAGATTACTTGAAAGAAGACGCAAGTTTTTTTCAATATTTTTTTCAACTATTGCGATCCGCCGATTGCTGCTGCTGCAAAAGAAAAAACATGTTTCCCTTAAGACCAGTCTTCGGTTGGCTTCACGTAAAAAAAACGGTCAACAACGAAACAACTAAATATTGAATACCGTCGCTTGACACTGAAAATCACAGAAATTCGCCGATAACTGTTGAATTGAATATTCTATAGTTTCGCTTTGTAAGCGTGCAAAATGTCTTCAACTTGCTTGGTTTGGCTTGGACAGACTGACTTTGGCTGGTTGGTTTGATTAATACATACATACGAGTATATACAAACATACATAGTTCAAATGCTAATTAACAAGTTTGATGCGTCAAAACATTTGCATATATCTCGCTAATTACTGGCATTGTAGTTATCAGGCAAGCTTACGAGATCACAGATTCTCGGCACTCGACGACACTATTGTGTGTGGAACTTGTTCATTATTATTTTGTTTTACGCTTAAACTAAATTTTTGATAGCCGATTATAGATAAAGATCTAATAATTGTTTAATATTTTTATATTTTGTGTGGCAAAAGGTTTTTATTTTACTTTTTTCTCCGCTCGAACATTTTTAGAACACGCTTTTCAACTCAAAATTATTTATCGTTCAATCGAGCGCATAGATCATTTGCCGGTTGGTAAGCAAAACAAAAAAAAGAAAGGAACAAATCAAAGGGGAAAAAACCAAGAACAGTAGAAATAGTAATAATAATAACAATGAAATCATAAAAGAAATTATCGCATTTGTACTTATATACGAGTACATATGTACATATAGAACTGGGTCGCTTTTTGAGCGCACAGTGGCTTTTTAAATTATATGTACACGTATGTGTATTGGAGTATGTATGCAGCTTTACTTATATACTTTTATGTAGTTAACCGTTGCGGCATTCACGCAAGCAGCATCCGGCGCGCTGATAGACATCTAGAACATGTGTTCATATATTTATTGTATATATATTTTTTTAAATACTCATATTGCATATTTACTAGTCTCATAAAAATGTACAAATGTATGTATATGAGTTTTTCCTGTTTTCTGATATATACATATATAAATATATTTCGCGCTCCTTGCACTTCATTGCGGCTCATTACTTTTTGGTCGGTTATAGTTTTTCTGCCGCATACATGTATTAATATATGTAGATACCCTAATGTATGTACACTAGAAATATATGTGTGTATGTACATAAAAATTCTACAAAATATCGGCGCTTTATTCATTAACTGGACCATTGATGCTTACAGTCACGTAGTCCAGTCAATTTCTGTCTTTGATGTTTGATTAAATGATTCAGTGCACTTTTGAGTATTTGATTTTCGTGATTTGACCCTTCTGGTGCCTTTATACCGGCTTAAATTCTCAATTGAGAATAATCTGATAGGGCAACATTTTTACCATGACGCTTCTTCCCAATATTGATATCCTTAGTGCCACGATATCGATTTTCATAAATTATACAGGATTATTATTAATCAAAAACTCATATCACTGTAATTTGAAAGCAGTAATTTCTGCAAGCACGATGGTTTGTGTCATGTCGTACGGGACTATCATATGCTTTCAAACACAAACTCTAACCTAAAAATATATTTTTTCGAAAACGGCCAAATGACAAAATCAGAAATTTCCATGGGACATAGAGATGGATAAATTTGGTCGACAGAAGTTTAGATACAGATTTATTTTAGTCAAAAATAATTTTCTTCTTTAAATTAGTAGTTCGGGAAAGTCATGGGTTCGAAATCTATTAACAATTAATTTACCAGATTGCAGATAGAGAACGTAAACTACTATGAGTGTTTTTCTGATTTTAGAAATAAAAAACTATTCATAAAAATCCATCAGCAGTTCTAAGGCGGCTTGAAATCAACTGTAGATTTCTCCATTTCGTTGGACAATTATCGAATTAGTTATTTATCAAAAATTTTGCTTTCATCAAATCATTTACGCCATTATTTCATTCACACAAACTAAGTAATAATTCCACATAAAATTGGTAATATGAATCGAGTTATTTTTGTATTATAATATTATTTTTTTCAATGTCGCACGGGACATCTAGACATCTTGATAATATAAAGGAAAAAAATCTCATTGATTTTTATTTACATAGTTTCGTATGCATCTTATTTGGAGTCCTTGTTTCATTATCGGTTATTTTCACCAAAATATACTGGTACTATTTGTTCTTTTTACCTTAAAATAGAATAATTTATTTTTTTTTAATTTGAGTAAATCCAAGTTAATACTATAATTAAGCCCCATAATGCTTTTTTTATTTTTTAATAATATTTTTTTTCATGCAACAAGTGCCCTTTAAACAAATTTTCAAAAAATAAAAATAAATAAATAATGTGACTAAAAATATACTATGTCGCTGACAACACTTACAGTGTCAGCATTTCCAGTAGCTTCTTCTTTCATATGTCTTCTGGTATTAGATAAGGCACTACCGGTTCACAGGCTTCACATTGCCGACAGTCGGACGGTTATCAGTTCGAAAAAAGTGTCATATTATTTATGAAATTTGAAACATTCAGCGCTTGCAAAATACACTCATGTAAATATGTATGCATATAGAAAAGTATATTATGTACTACACATAAGAGTATGTGCTGCATTTAGGGCAACATTATAATATATATATTACTTATAGCAATGTATCAACTGTTTTGAATTTAGACTTTAATTAAAATAGAATTTTGCTGATAATTCAAATACTTGAAATTCTAGTTAGAGACAAATGGGGAACATTTGAAACCATGGAAAAAACTTAAAATTACTCCGGGAGTGTCTGTGGAAGTAAAAGTATATTTACTTATACAAGCATATGGTTATGAGAATGGTGAAGTATATACATTTTTAATTGATACAGTTTTGTAAGTAATAAAAATGAGCAAAATTCAGAAGACTTCAACTCAAACCAGTTTCTTTCTGCGTTGTATGCCATCCCTAGATTAGATTAAAGTGGCTGCTGATTTGAGAACATCGACACACTTAGGTCAACACAAAAACTAATCAAAACTTATAATTAATCATATTAATAATATAACTAATATAATAATAATATAACTAATTTTACATCGGAATTTTGAAATATTACTTACTTTAGCTTTTGCTTATTAATAAAGGCCATCCATGAATGATTCTCAAATGCAAAAGTCTACATCTGCTGAGAGCATCACAGCCACATTCAGACCTGTTATACTTCTCAATTCCTAACATCTATCATTGAAATTTCATTATTTTTAGAGGAGATAAGATATTCAATACCTGTGAGGCCGACTTCGGTCCAGTTTCCTTCGATTGTGACGAGTTTTGTACCCATCTTCATCAAACAAGTGCTTACCATGCAATTATTGCAGGCCACTACGCCGCTTCGGCACTTAATAATAAGTTTTTCATCTTCGCTCTGAGCTATGCTCTTCGCTTAAAAACTTTGATTTGGTTTACAGGCCTGGGAGAACTCCGCCGATGGTGCGATAATTGTTGGAATTTTATATTTCCTGATGAAGAAAAGTTGTATCACCATGTATAAGGTAGGATAGAGTCTACCGATGAAAACACATCGAAATTTAAGAAATATTTCCAAGGTCATTATCATAATCCGAAAATATATGTCTCCGCGTGCTACGACCAAGTCAACGGCGTAAGTAGGAACCGATCCATCCCATATCTAGTAAGATTCCCAACTATGGATGAGAGAATACTGCTCCTCTGTTGGCATTTCTGATCTCCCAAGATCTTCCGACACAAGCGGGACTACAATGAACTGCTCTAAGCTTTCAAATGAAGCCAAAAGCTAAAGCTGGGTGGAGCCCAGGCACAAAAGCACTAAGCGCCATTCACCAAGAGTTCCTCAACACTTTCATGAACTCTCTCTCAGTAAATGATGTTCTCGGAGTCCAACCAGCAGCTATAGAAGACGAAGAGCTTGAGCTCGAGAATCCCGTAATACTGCCGCAACTCAGGTCTGGATATTGTAACAGGTTAAAATCCTACCTATCCAGACTCGACCCCGACATACCTAACGTGTCAGGGTCACGCGGGTCTCTCGAGGCAGCTCGAGCTCGTTGTCTGCTATAGATGGTGGTATTTCTCCGAGTACGCCATTCACTGGAAGTGAGTCCTTGAAGGTATTGACTGACTCCTGGTGAATGGCGCTCAGTGCTTGTCGGTACGCCGTCCTGTCCAGCGGTTGTTGTACGTGTTGCTGGATTAGGTCTAGTACTCCCTTTCTGATGTGCCTAGGTGGAGGTTCAGCCTCTATTAGGTGCCTGTTGGGGTGCTCTCTGCGGTAGCATCCCAATAGGAACTGCTTGCACAGCAAAGCATTATGCTCCTTAACTCGTAGCATAGATGCTTCCTTGTGCAAGTGATGTTCCGGCGGCATCAGGAGGTTTCATGTCGCGGTCCTGAGGGCGGTGTTCTGGCAAGCCTGTAACTTCTTCAGCCAGCAAAGTTTCTTTGTCTTTACCTCAGGTGCTACCGGCTAGCGCTTTGAGTATTTTGCGGCTCTGGAGTCGTATGCGGAGTGAAGGAGTGCAGGCTGTCTAGGGTTACTCCCAATAATTTTTGGGTTATTTACCATCGAAATTTTTGTATCATCGACCTTTACATCTAGTTCAAGCCTGTACTCCTTCGTCCAGCTGGTGAAGAGGGTAGCCGAGGATTTCGTCGGTTGAATTCGTAGTTGTCTTGCAGTGAAGAAGTGGGAGAGATCAGCGAGGTAGCCGTTCACTTTCAAACAGAGATCATCAATATCCTGGCCTGTCGACTCTCACGACAGCCGGTTCTACGCACCGGAGTTGACCCGGATTTTATCCGGCCAAGGGCTGTCACCCTTTCGGCGAACTAACCCCGTTTAGGTCAACAGGTAACTCTAGTCTAAGTTCGGACAACCAGTGCTTCTTATTGGTTTCTGAGACAAAGCGTGTTATGATCCTCTCTATGTGCACAAGATTCTATCATTCTGAGAGAGAGCTAACAATGACCACCCGAAAAGCCACGCGTCTAAAAAGCCCACTTCATTCAACCTACTTATACAAATTAATTATAACACCAATAAAAACTTGATTGATATTTTATGCATTTCTATCTAACGGTTTCGTGATAGATTTATCTTCGAAATTAAATGACGTCGCGTAAAGAAAAAAACTATAAAATGCGAATTCATTGACTTGACTAACAAAAACTGTGAGTTAAATGAACTCTCAACCAATTGTTATCTGATATTTATTTGCAACAACAACTACAACAGTCACTGAACATTGTTTTATTTGTTTAACTTACAGTTATTGAGGTATTTAAATGTTAAGTCGGAAGGCGCTCGAAAATGAAATGTTTAAATACATAAGTAGTGTCATACTATTATTTACTCATATTAAGTGTAAATATTTATTTATGTAAATAAACTAAAAAACAAAAACAAATTTCAAACTTATATTTACTTTATACGCAGGTGAACACGCTTGGCATGGATGAGGAGTGGAAGGGAGGCGATATGAATGGTCTGGGCGGCGGTTATAAAATACGTTTGCTGCGCGAAGCTGTCGAGCCATTTAAGGATGAGAAAAACACTATTATTTTGTTTACGGACAGGTATTTAATTGTTGAATATTTATTTTGAAGAATTTTGAATTAAATTTGCGCTTCTCTATCTTCCCTCACACAGTTACGATGTCGTCTTCACCACCGGCCTCAAGGATATCTACCGGAAATTCAAAGAGTTCGGCGCTAGAGTGCTCTTCTCGGCTGAGAAATTCTGCTGGCCCGATAAAAAGCTGGCCAAACAATATCCTCCAGTGTCGGAGGCTAACGCCTCGCCGTACCTAAACTCAGGCGCTTTTATCGGTTACGCGCCAGAGATCTATAGCATTTTGAGCGCTGAAGAAATTAAAGATGACGACGATGATCAACGTTATTACACGAAAATATTCCTTGACGTGGATAAACGTAAAACATTGAAGATACAGTTGGATACGCAATCGCGTATATTTCAAAATTTGAATGGTGCACGTGAAGATGTTAAATTGAATGTGGATTTGGACTCGAATGAGGGTACATTACAGAATATAAATTTCATGACTGAGCCGTGTATTATACACGGCAACGGACCAAGTAAGGTGGAGTTGAATGCGTTTGCCAATTATTTGGCTAAAACATTTAGCGGCGCGTGTTTGATATGCCAGGAGGATCGCTTGGAATTGGATGTGAGTTGGTTGTGGTCTAAGAAGAGATGAAGAGAGAGAGAGAGAGTTAAAATATGAATTTGTTTTTTTGTATATGCAGGAAAAGAATTTGCCCGTTATTACCGTTGCGCTCATTATCACCGAATCAGTGCCATTCTTCGATGTCTATCTGCAGAAAATCGAAAAACTCAACTATCCAAAGGATAAAATGCATTTATATATTTATAGTAATGTGCGTTAGCAATACTTTTGGTTATTTGATTTGTAGTAAATAAAGATTAATTGTAATTATAGCAAAAATTCCACGATGAAATGGCAAGATCCTTCCTTAAACGTCTGGAAAAGGAATATCGCAGCGCTAAAATTGTACTATCAGCTGATGAGCTTAATGAACAACGCGGACGTGAATTGGCGCTGTGCGTACACATATTTTTATATATTTTTAAATTAATTAATTAATTTATTTTCCCACACAGCCAACAAGCCATACAAAAACAGTCTGATTACATATTCTCTGTGGACGCCGCTGTGCAAATTGATGACCCAGAATTGCTGCGCGAATTGCTAATAAGGAATAGGTAGTTTAATATATATACATATAAAATATTTGTAGTATTGAAATATAAACATTTCCTTTTTTTTGCGGCAGACAATTCGTGGCGCCCGTGGTAAGCAAATACGATGAGCTATGGAGTAATTTCTGGGGTGCGCTCTCCGATGGCGGCTATTATGCACGCTCACATGATTATGTCGATATTGTCAAGTCTTCGTTTACGTGAGTAAAACATACTTTTAAATAACTTTAAATACTACGCTTTTTTGTGGCATAGAAAATATATAAAATGCATAATTTCATACATTTTATTTGAATTATTGCGCTGCTAAATTACTACTTTAGATTGTTTTTTTTTTCATAAAAAAAGCATTTTCATAAAATAATATCAAATTAATCAAAAGCAATAGAGAAATCTGTCTTAAAACTACGTCGATCAATTGAGTACATATTATCAGCTGTGCATTCATATAGACCGGCATCCATTTGTGTGGCAGGATCAATTTCGATTTTTGATTTTACTCTATCCTCGCCAATACGCCATTCATGCACCTGAAAAATGTGCAATGATTAGTGAATATTATTCGAAAGAATTGATATATCCATATTTTCACACTCACATGCATATAGAGATGTTGAAAAATCTCCGTGCCATCCTTATACCAGGTGATATGTGGGCGTGGATTACCTTTGGCCACACAGAGGAAAGCGATTTTATGACCCAACACGTATTCATAATCGAAATGGGAAGCTTGTAGAATTTTAGCGCCCTGTGGGGAGGATGATTAATTAAAAATTTCCGCTTAAATCGCTTGTTTTTATAAATATTGGTATAATATGATATATATAATATTTAAAAATAAAATATATATTATATATATATATATATATATATATATTATATATATATATAATAATAAATATATATATATATAATTATAATTTCTTTCTTCACTTACATTGTTATTATTGTAATACTGATCTGATTCCGGATCACGATATTTGCCTGTTATTGGCAAACCTATTTGTACCTGCGTATCAGAAACACAGAAAATAATGTATTTTGTTTCATAAAAATTTATATTTTTTTATTATTTTTTTGTTTTTTCAAACATACTCTCGACTTAGTGCGTCCTCGACCACGTCCACGACGACCATCACACACTTGGCAGCTTAATATAAGCACACCAAAGCAAATTAAGAGTATTTTGACATTCATGATTACTTTTTATAGGGATTTAATTGAGTGTGGAATTGCTGTAAAATACTTTTTGGTTAACTGTATTAATTTTTTTTTGTTTTGAATTTATTGAGTATGAGAATATATATATTTTTTTAATTTTTAAATTAGTATTAAATTTCTTTCAATTAAAATATAATTGTTTTGGTATTTCGTCTTTCAATTATGGCTACGTTTCGATTTCGGCTCGAGTGTGTTAACCCTTAACGCGCTATACGCTCGCCCGTTACGATCGTTACCGTTGCTTATCACTTTCTGTACGCTTCAACCGAATAAATACGACTAAACATTGGATATATTGTAAGCTGTTGCAGCAAATCTGCAATGTTCAAAAAATTCATTTATGAATTAGTTTGCTTATAACACATTTGTGTGTATATAATGATGCTTTGGTTGCTATTTGGTCACAGCATGTTGCTGGTTAAATTTGAAAATTGAAAGCTACAATGTCTTCTGAAGGGGATGCGAGTATTATTTTGTTTGTTGTTTTTTTTTATTTTACTTTTGCACCTATACCTTTACAGATAGCTCGAAATCTCACTATTCATAATTTCATTGAGCAGCTACATACATATATTATATATATGTACTTACATCTTACATATATTCACATGTACAAATTTGCATATTCGCCGCTTTGCAGACAGTATCCATAACCAGACCTAATAAATGTTGTGTATGAATGTGACACCCTTCCGCATCTGACCACTTTTGGGATATACTCGTACATATGTATAATAGCAAAATTTGTTTTCTCTTTCCTTTACTTACGAGTATTTGTCGCACGTTACATGGTATTTTATGTTAAATTTAGCAACGTCCTGCGGCGATGTGGTTAAAAATAGTTTAAACTGTAAAATTTGCGAAAAAAAATTAAATAAAATTAAAATAATAAAAAAATGAAAAATTTTATCATATTTTTAAACTTCTAAGGCGGTTAATATTATTCTTTTCAAAAAACGGGAAAATGAAAAATTATTTAAATTTATTTTTTATGTTAATTATTATGTTTTTATGTTAATTATAAATTATAAATTGTATAATACGAATCTTAATCAATTCTGTCTTCCATTGAAAAATTTAGCAAATTTGTTTTATATTTTTTATTTAATTGTAGTTGTGTGCAAATAAATATTTGATTTTTTTAATTTGTTTTCAAAATCTAACGAAAAAAAGAGGGGCCGAATTTTCTTTTGTATTAAATATTAATTCTCCTATTCGAGCCAACCGTTGTATGGGGACTATTTAATATAGCTCTCCGATTTATCTCGAGTCTTAAACCCTTTTTCAAGCAGGATTAGACTTTCTGTGCCTTAGCTACTGAATTTTTTTGAATAAAAAAAAAATTTTAATTTTAATTGTCGCAATTTTTAAATTATATTTTTCAAAATTATTTTTTATGATTCCATGGACTGAAAATAACTACTGTAAGCCACGGCATTATAAATTGGCTTAACTCTTTAACGATTTGTACTTTCACACTTGGTTTAAAAAAATAAAAAGAAAAAAAATCACACGTTATACTTGATCACTACGCAGCTTTAAAAAATATAGAACGTTTAAGCGAGAATTTGTTTGAATTAAATAATTGAGCCAATTTGTCGGCAAATGCTATGCTGCGTTCTACCTAGCAGACAAACAAATAAATAGAAGTACACAGATATGTTTACGTATGTACATATGTATGTTTGTATGCATATAAGTAAAGTAAATTTCTGCGCAAACAAATTTTCGCCTAGGCCCCCTCGGCCTTTTAAAAGCAACACGGCCCACCCATGACAACACATTTATTTGCAGTCAACTAAAGTAGGTAAATTGTTGACTTAGGTTAATAAATTTTTTTTTAATAATATGCACACAAACAATTTTACATTTAAATAAAAAATTTGTGTTGCTTAAAAAAAATGAAATTATACCTATCTTCATTTGATATGAGTAAATAGTATATATGTACGTATGTACGAGTATATGCAAATATGTTTGATGACAAACTATTTTATTTACGTTTTCCACTTTTATTATTTTATTCGTATACGTTGACGAAATTTTTAGCTTTTTTCTAGAAAAAATCTAATTTACACGCTAATGGTATGGTTCAGGAAATACATGAAACAATTCTAAAAGTTAATCATAACATAATCGGTGCGAAAACCGCGTCTATCAATCGCATAAATATTGTCCGCTTGGCATTCGTAGTAGCCTGTTGAAGGGAGAAAGAGAATAGAGGTAATGGAAAATTTATGAATTTTTGTTCTCACAATTATGAAGTAAGAAAATTACCGGCGTCCATTTGTGTGGTCGGATCAATCTCCATTTTCGATTTTATAATGTCCGCATCAATGTGAGACTCATGCACCTGGAAAAATATGAAAAATCAGTTTTTGTCCGCTTACTCGAAATTATTTCAAAATATTACTGTAGTTGCTAATATTTGGTAATACTATTAATTGTTGTTGTTTTATATTTACTACTGGTGTTACATTACTTTTACTGTGACGATGATTTGCAATATTTACAAAAAAAAATTTTTTTTCCACTATAAATGTGGTGATGTACCTGGAAAAATCGATGTTGATACAATTCAGCGCCATCCTTGAACCAAGTGATTGTGGGACGTGGATTGCCTGTGAATATATTTTTTTTAAAAATTATTAGATTTTTTGCTTCTTGCTACATATTTACAAGTACATAGTATATGCTTATCGATTACACCTTTTCGTATAGTTTTTAATTTAATTTGAAATTATTTTTTTTACCTTGCGCCATGCAAAAGAATGTTATTTTCCTGCCCAACGTATAATCCAATTCAAAATGTGAGGATTTTATGATTTTGGCACCCTGGAACAAATTAAGAAAAATCAAAATAAAATTTTTCACTTAGTTTTCAACACTTAAACAAAACATAATTTTAGCTATTTTATATTGTATTTACATTTTCATGATCATAATAATTGACGGCATCCTGTGAGCGATGTTGTATGACAACGGGTTTTTTGCCTGTGTAATTTCTACGCAGCACGCCACGTGCGCCGACGGTGCCTATATGGAGAGTGGAACAATTTGAATTGCAGTTAATTTCGGAGATATTAATATATTCTTTTCATTTCAATATTAAATTTAAAAAAATATGAAGAAATGTTAATATTTTTATATAAATGAAAAAGTAGTTTTGGGAATTAATTTTTTATATTATTTTTCAGTTTTTGTGATTAATTATCATAATAATTTCAATGAAAATAATATAATTTATTGTACCACACTTTTTAGCTAATTTATTCTGAAAGCTGTTTTTAGTGAAATTTGTTTTTCAATTTTAATTTGTCTATTTAATTATGCATAGTTTAAGTTTTGTTACACATTTGGAGCTCAGTGGTACTTATTTTATTATTTCTATTTTGCTGCTTCATTTTTTTTTATTAAATTAAATTAATTTAATTTAATTTTTTATTATTTGATTTTGTTCAATTTTATTATATTATTGTACAATATTATTATACAATATAATAAAATTGAACAAATACAAATAAAAACAATAAATATTAAAAAATTAAATTAAATTAATTTTCATTAAATTAAATTATATTATATTTATTTCATTTGCATCTATTTCAATTAATTTTAGTATAACTTAGGTTTCTTTATTTTATTTTATATTATTTTGCATTGTTTTGATTCTTATTATTTTATGTTTTCCTTTTAATTTAATTTATTGTTTATTTCACATAATTTTTTAGTTTGCATTTTTTCTTTTTTTATATAGATAGTTATATTTTAAACTTTTCTTCTCTTCATACATTATTTTCTTCTATTTGTAAATTATTTTTTCCACTTACGTTGTGCCTCGCTGCCGCACAGCAACAAAAAATTGATCAATAATAAACTCACGTAACAAAAACTGTTGCCAAATACAATGCGCATTTTATTAATAACAAAAATTTGGTGACAATTAAAGGAAACTATTTGTATAAAGTAAAGTTTAAAAATGTTTTAAAATTATTTATGTTTATAATTATGCTTTTTAAGCTTTACTATTTTTTCTTGTTTATTATTATCTTATTTTTTTATTATTTTTACTTCTGTAGAGAAAACGCTAATTTATCTATCACTTTGCTATTTGATTTTTGGTGTGTTAGCTCAAAGGCATGTTTTCGCAACTACTGACCACATGAAATTCGCAATCAAACTGTGCGCCATCCACTGCGTCGTCGCTGTCATTATAGCCGTCATCAACAGCCTTTCTGCCGTGCCATGCCGTCCGTCCCTAAATTCAGAAGATCAAATGAATGTTGACGGAGCATTAATCTCTCTTTAAAAAAATTGTCATGTTGCATACAATCACCTAAGAGTATGATGCCACATATAGTTACACACACACACTTACACACAAATGCGCGCATATATACAGACGTACAAACCATACGGCGCTGCGCCCACAATTTCAATTGGCGCGAATAACCGCTTTAGTGGTCCACTGCTGCATACAACTAATTCCTTCTTCTTCAATGGGTTCAGGTTGTTTATTCTCTGACGCGCTAAATTGATAAATTGTTCAGAAAATCTGATGGAAAAAAGTAGTAGTAATAAATAAACAACAACCATACATTGTACTAATTCACCTCCTCTGAGATGCGAGACACACATCATGAACGCCGCGGATTGTGTGGTTGCTTGTTGGCGCTGCGCTGATGACGATTTCGCTGGAACCATGTGTCATTGGTTGCTTTATGAATTTGTTTACTTTGTTGCAATGCTGCGAGTAGTTATTATTATTATTTGCGTGTGTTTTTTTTTAACTCGGTTTTGCATACAATGGCAGCTCGTGCTGTTGTACGTACTTGCACAGTTGCAAAATCTTCCATATCATTATTTTTCATTCTTTTCTGCTTTACAATTTCTTTTTTTCTGTTTTTTTTTTTGCAAATATTAATATTTTTGATGTATCAGCTGCCATTGTGCCATATTTAGACTTATCTTGCTTTATCCTTATTTTCTTGTTTTCCCACTTTTTTTTTGGAATTTATGAGCATTTATTAATATATTCTTATTCTCTTCATTTTGATTTTTAGCGGCATGTGGAATGTCCCGTACGTGTCCAGTATTTATCTGATCAGGCAGAGTGCATTCAAACATATCTCGTATCAGCATCGTGATTATGACCCCGATATGGCATTGTGCGAATCATTACGGAGAGCTGTAAGTATATATGTACTTGTATAATAACAGAAGACATATAATATAATATGCATGTATAAATAGTTATAAATACCACAAATATGAATATTTAGCGGGGCTTAAAAATATACCTACGGACCACTGCATTGAACAATGACCAAACGTGACCAGTGGTTGGTTCACACAAACTGTGTTTTCGTCCATCAATTGAGTTATTTTTAGTCATAAATCTTATATAAATATACGTAAAAAGTGCATGCATAATTATGCATGTGAATTAGTAACCCACCGGGATTATTTTCATATAATATTAATCATCTCACAGACGATTCAAGAGTCTTCTTAGAAATTAACTGAAAATGCTAAGATACTTGGCGATAAATTTGCGTCTTGATATTTTTCCAACAAATGCAGGGCCTACAGTTTATACTAAGCCGCCTCCGAACGGCTGATGTTTTTTTTTACGAAGAGTCTTTATTTCATGTCCGAAATACACTCGGAGGGGTCGAAATGCCGTGCCGAAGGGCGACAGCAGTTAGATCATTTAATTTATAAGTTCTGATTTCTCAAGGCTAAATAAGAAACCATTGGGAATGGCGAGTAACGCAGTTGATGGAACGATAAGCTGTACGAGATATATTTACATATTCCTACGAATCAAGAGAAAGTGGATACGCTGGGTTGGTCATGTGGCCCAAATAGATGAGAACATTCCAGCTTTGAAAGTATTCGAGGCAGAACACTCTAAGTTCAGAAAGACTTGGCTATACTTGGTATTTCCTTTTGGCGGCAAACAATGAAACAGTGCTTTAGTTCAATAACAATATTCCATTAGAGGTTTACCTGGTATAGAACTCTATGCTGAGATATTTTGTGTTGCGCAAGTGTCAGAGACAAATCGCATAGAGGTTTCGTTCTAGACACCAAATAACATATTCTTCACTTCACTCAAGTCATTTTAGTATAGATCTACCTGAAGTCTTTAGTTTTGTAAGTTTTAGGATGCCTTTGAAAAAGATATTTCCCAAATCGGCCTAACAACCATACGTCTTTTCGTCTCTCTAAGAATTTGTATTTTAAAATAATAAATGATTTCAATCACAAATCTTTTCTCTTTTCTTCTCTACAGGGTGTCTTCATGTATATTACCAACGAACACATCTACGGCCATTTGGTGAACACCGAGAACTTCGATACAACACTAACACGTCCAGATTTCTATACAATATTTACGAACAAATACGACTGGGTACGAAAATACATACATCCAAACTATTTCCCGCAGCTAGAAGCGAATACAACAATTGAACAGCCATGTCCTGATGTTTTCTGGTTTCAAGTGGCCACCGATGCTTTCTGTGATGATATGGTTGCAATTATGGAAAACTTTGGAAAATGGTCTGATGGCAGTAACAAAGATGCACGTCTCGAAGGCGGCTATGAGGCGGTGCCCACACGTGATATACACATGAAACAAGTGGGTTTGGAACCATTGTGGTTGAAGTTCCTGGATTATATTATAAGACCGCTGCAGGAGAAAGTCTTTTTGGGCTACTATCATAATGTGAGTTCAGAAAAATATAATATTAAATAATATTTATTTACATTTGAGGATTCATTATTTTTTATATTTTTTTTTTGTAGCCACCACGTTCGCTCATGAATTTCGTTGTGCGTTATCGCCCCGATGAGCAGCCCTCGTTGCGCCCACACCACGACTCCTCGACCTACACGATTAATATTGCTTTGAATCAGGTGGATAAGGATTATGAAGGCGGTGGTTGCCGTTTCATACGCTACAACTGTTCGGTGAATAAGACCCGTAAGGGTTGGATCTTTATGCATCCCGGACGTTTGACACACTATCACGAAGGCTTGCCAGTGACCAATGGTACACGGTACATTATGATTTCATTCGTTGATCCGTAAGCACATGAGGTGGTGTAAGCTGTAGTTGGCGCTGTTGGTTAAGATTTGGAGCTCTATAGCGCTGCAGCCATTTAGAATTTAAGCTAAAACTGCCATTGGCATGTCCAAAGATTATCTTTAGTCGTTTTTTAGTTGCTTTCGTTAAAAAATATACCTATATACGTGTATGCACATGTATATGTATGAAATGTAACATGCAATCTCAAAAAGCTTTCTATGTTATCGAATTGAAATATAAGAGACTACTTAAACCTACCTAAACAGAACCAAACATGAACAAAGTGAGAATCTATTGTAATAAATATGTATAGAAGTCATGTATGTACATAAGTAAACACACAAGATTATTTACATTCTTACATATATCACATTTAATTGAACAACTGTGCAAATCTTGTTGATATTTTTTACTGAATACTCATCAATATTAATTTTAATCAAACTGTTTAAACCACTGATTCATATAAAAACAAATGAAGCTGCAATTAAACAATTTTTGCCAAAAAATGCAAATGATTTGACGCAGTGAAAATACTTATACTCATAATTTATTTATGTATGTATACATAGATGCATGTAAATGAAATGATTGATTAATAAGCAATAAAGTTATACAAAAATATTGTACATAAAGTAAGCATGTAAAACATTGCATTTTTTTATTGGTTTACCGATTAGAATCTTTCATGTTGACAAGTATAAAACGTTTCTATCTATTTAATTATATATTTAAGTGATGTTATAATAGTAGTTTTGAACTGTTTTATTTTTATTTTTTTTTAGCATTCATAATGAATTGAAGATTTTCCAAATTATTATTGCAAATTTAGTTTGAAAAATTAGAGTTTGGATAATTCGAACTCTTCGGCTTGGCTTGGGCAACACAAATATTTATGCATGTATGAACAGTTATCTCTGTTTGGCCGAATGGATGCCGAAAATGTTTTCCATTTCCTGAACTATACGATTTGTGCTGGTCGCATCCTACCAGAGGGATCAGGGAACTCTCACCATTGTAAGTTCGACTACTAGTAACATACGCGGACTAAATGGAAGAAGACTTTAAGGTCTTATAATCTTTGTTTTGGTTCGGCTAAGCTTTGGGGCACCATTGCATACCCATCATTTCTGACGGAAAACAGATACGGGATGTGATTCGAATCAGGAATGAGGTTCTAGCAGTTCTAGCAAAGAGTAATGCAATAAAATTCATCGGTCCTCAAATAATAAGCATGCTGATGATAGAAGATATGAGTCCAATAAGAGTCCACTATCACACCATAGTGCGGCCTTCTACCACTCTAACGTTGTGCGGCATGTGAATACACTCCGGAATACAGAGAAACCCGCCGAAAAAGGCACTTCAACACAGTCAACATCCAAATAGTTTAACAATTATCAGCTTACAATGTGTCCTCATTTCATCGCTTTACATATGCTGAACTAAGAAATATCGAATAAATCTCAATTAAATTGAGGATCATAGAAGGGAATAAACTATCTAAAACTGATACCAATAACAGCTGCGTCTAAGGAGACCGTATACAAATATTAGACCGATCGGTTGAGCCATTCATGAGAAATCGAAATCACCGGCTTCGAATATAATAATTTGAGAATATCTTGTTTAAGGTTCCAGAAATACCATACACGTAGTTATATTTTATATTCTATATTCAGTTATATCTACGCAAAAGATTGACTGCAAATTTCTAGAAAATATACTTAAATATTCAGAAAATTAAAATATTTTACTTACTTTTTTTTAATTCCATTACGTGTAAAGAGTTAAAATTATTTTTTATTTGGTTCATTGGGTTGAACAGTGTTGCTGTTAAGTTAGCAGTTGCCTACAGAGCAGTGTTAGCTCAACAGCTTGTATACACGACAAGCGTCAGACATGGTTAATCTAAATATGTGGGAATGTTTTACAAAGCAGACACAACTAAAGCGGCTAAAACTCACCCTCAGACACAGCCGTTTTGCATGTAATGCTACTAATCTCTGCGCACAGCTGTTTCCGTTCCATTTCGCCAACGTTTCCACTGTTAGTTGTTTACATTACATTACATTTTCGTCTTTGCATTTGAGTGATTTGAGCATTCACTGTTAACAAATTAAATGTTTGCGTACTGCTGTTATGACGGCTGCTTGTTGCTGCTGCTGCTGCTGCTTGGCTTTGGTTCGCATGGCATGGCGAGGCGATAGCATTTATCAATCGGGTTTCATGTGTTCCACTTCAGTCTCAATAAGATATCCAGCGATATAAACCACAAAATTCGAATGCGGCTGATAGGTTGCGGTCAATAATAATAAAATAATATATAATAATAATAAACGACTACATCACATATTGTGTGCATATGTATTTTTTATCGGTAAATATTTTATTTATTTGTTTTTTTATTTATGTGTTTTTGCACTAGCTGTTCCGGCGTTCAGCATGTGCATTTATTATCGGGTATATGAATATGTGAGATTCAATAACAATATACTAATAAATATTATATATATGTACATACATATATAAGTACTCGTGAGTGCTTTGTGAATTGCAAAATAATTTACTGTTGTTGTATTGATATCGGCTCAGCCGGCTGTAGGTACTGTTAGAGCCATTGAGTTGTTGTTTTTTTTCTTAGTTTTACATACACACATACATACATATGCACTAGTATTTAGCACGCCTGTAGGTAGATAGCATTTGCCTTGTGAGAAAGAGGCATTCGGCTAGTTTACAGCGCGTCCGTTGGCGTAAATGTACATTGTACTAAAAAGTTAACAGTCAGTTATCCTTTCACAGCGCTCATGAAAGGAGCACACGCTGGCACAATTAACGGGCGTGTGTTTTTGTTGTGTATTGGAATTTTTGGGAAAAACAAGAACTATTTTTCAGCCAAAATTCTGTGCGTGTGTGTGAATAAAGAAAAACAAAATGTTTTTGGTTTTTATTTTTGAGTTTGGCTAACAAAATTGTGTAAAATAAATATTGCGTTTAAACGCCCTGAATTATGCATTGTATTCTTGTTGAAAAGTGTAAAACTTGCAATCAGTTGGGCAAATAAGAAAGTAATTTTGTGTTCTGCTTTACTCACGTTGTCCTAGTTCATAGTATTTATTTGGTTTATTTATTATTTATGTCTCGGTTCTATGTTGTTGTTTTTTTTTTTTTTTTTTTTTTTTTTTTTTTTTTTTTTTTTTTTTTTTGCATTCATGTCTGTAACTGTAAGCAATTGGCTGGTGTAGTGTGTGCAAGTGGGCAGGCAGTATTATTGCTATATATGTACGCTCAGTTTACCAGTTATGTGTTTATTTACATTTCATATTTTTTTATTTTCGGTGTGTAAAATTTGTGCATTTTTCTTTGGGGGTTTTATCAGCGTTTCGGTGCGGCTCTTATAGCGTGTGTAAACTAAAATTATTTTAATTAAAAATTCAAAAAATTTTTTCTCTTGCACCTTTCCAACCGACGCGTTCATTTGGAATTTAAAAGCCGTCGGTCGGTTGTCTAAGGCAACGCGCGAGCTAAACACCTGAACCTGAAACAAACCGTCATAAACGACTGTTAAGGGCTGTTTTTTAATGGTTGTCTTTTATAAATAATAAATGTGTACATTTTTTGATTTGGGAGTCAGCTTGGTTTTTGGTTATTATTGCTCATATGCAAAGAAACAAACATACATTTATATGCAAATGCATAAAGTGTAGCATTTTGTTTGGCGTCGTTTAGAAGCAAACGTGCGATGATGTGGTCTGAATTTAAAAAATTATAAAAAGCTTAATAAAATTAAAATAATTATTATTTAATAGAAATGAACTTTACGGCAAAAAAAAAAAATAAATAAAATTTATATAATTTTTAATTTAATAAAATATACCAAGTTTTAAATATTTATTTTTTATTTGTATGCGTGTATATTGTATTAGCAAACAAATTAGTGCTCAGACAAAAACAAATAATAAATACATGCATGCATACGCAAATTTCAACTAAATTTATTGTAATTAGTAATAAAAGCAACAACAACAATAAAAATAAAAATGTGCGAAAATAGAAATCGGTGGAAAAAAGCTTTAGAAGTAAAACCAATTAAAGCAAAGTTTAATAACTAACGTGCTCATTGCGCTATAAATACAAAAATACATACATATACAGTTTAGTATGGTTTATTTTGTGTACATCTGTTGACAACTGAAAGTGAATTTAGTGAGCTGCGCTGGCCGTTAAACAAAACAGTGTAACTAAAAATACAAGTTAAAATATAAATAAAATGCAAATTAAATAAATAAATAAACAACAACAAATACAAAATAAATAAAATAAAATAAAATAAAATAAAATAAAATAAAATAAAATAAAAATTAGAGTAAAATAACAAAAAGGAAAGAAAAACAAAATAAAACAAAAAATTTTAGAATTGAAAATAAAAAATTTCAATTAAAATAAAATCAAAAATAAAATGAAAAGAAAAGCATAATAAGAAATATAGAAAATATATCAATAAAGTAAATTTATTGAATAAAAAAGTAAAAATAATAATAAAGAAATTTAAATAAATTGAAATAGATAACTAAACACATTGAAATAAATTATTGCGCAGAAAAAAAAAAAAATTTTCAATAAAGAATTTTCGAATTTAATAATATAAAAAAAGTTGAATAAAAAAAATTAAAAGATATTAAAAATATATGTACTCGTAATTAAATTAAAATAAAATATAAGTATAAGCATATAAAATAAAAACAACAAAAATTTCCATACAAAACTAAATTTGGAACAACAAACAAATTGATGTGACCACTCACTGCGTGGCTTAAAAATAAACACGGTAAGTCATTAAGATATCATACACAAGTTTAGTGACGAAATATTTACATCCAGCTATTTTAAGAATTCTTAATATAGTCTAATCTGCAAGCTAAGCATAAGCGACGAGAATTTGCATAATAAAAAATGACAATTTAAGTAATTACTTTTTAATGAGTTAGCACATATTAAATCTACTATTATTAGGCTATTGAAGACTTTCTGCGATTCGGTCTATCCTTAAAGAGGGTTGTAAGTACAAAATAAAAAAATTGAATTAAAGATTTTTATTATCATACTAACACGGATATGTAGTTAAAAGTACAATTTTAAAGTTTGTGATTTTATGAAAGTAACATTAATACGTTAATGGGTATCTGTAATAAAATGAGCATTACAAAGGTTCGTTCGAAAAATAAGGCATCTTGAAATATTCAATTAACAGACCATATTATTTGCAAAGATATTCTTTCAACTGGTCAAACCGATTACAAGAAATTTAATTTTCACCACCTCATGAGGTATTCTGACTTCGTTCTGAGTAGTAAAATTCATCAAACTTAAAGTTGGAAGATCTGAGGTCTGCTTCTTCACGACTAAGCCTGAAACTTGCCATATTAAGCTATCATCCTTAGAGAATAATATCCTTAAAAAACAATTTCGTAATAGAAATCCCGATGTGAAGGGCAAATATTGAAAGCAGAGTTAGTGTAGTATTACTGTAGAAGCCCCATTGTGCCCACTCCTGTATGGTTTATCGTCTTTATACAAGTATCGAAAGTTCTATACGCAATAGGCAGCATTAGTATTAGAGTGCGTCGGCGCGTCTCACATAGCCGAAATACATCCATAGTGTTGTCAGGCATACTACATGCGACCAAGCTGCGCTGCAATACGTCTATTGGGAATCCAGTGTGAAGGACATTGAACTACTTCAGGTTTGAAGTAATATTGTTTGGAATTCTTGACATATGTCAGGTGTACAACTTTGCTTCCGCCGTTTTCCGATAAGCGGCTATACCGGCTGAGGCTGGTTCAAATACATATATGATAATGCCTTTAAAGTGAGTGTGGACAGTGCCTAACGAATTTTCATCGCCTTTTCAGTGACAGTTGTTCTTGTTTTCGTATTATTTACGCTCGAAAATGTTCATTTTTGTGCCTAATTCTCGCCATTTTCCGGAAGTTTTATTTTTCTGTTACAATTCGAAAAAAAAAAAAATGCAGCTGAAGCGCATCGAATGCTCTCAGAAACTTACGGTGATGCTGCTCTGAGTGAAAGAACGTGTCGGGAGTGGTTTCAACGTTTTAAAAATGGTGATTTCGGTGTCAAAGAAAAACATGGTGGTGGAAGAGAAAACACCTTCAAAGATTTACTACCAACTCTTAAAACCGGTCAAAAAGTACCTGGAAACGCTGAAATGGGAAGTCTTGCCCCACCCGCCGTATTCCCCAGATGTCGCCCCTTCTGACTTCCACCTATTTCGTTCAATGCCACACAGCCTGGCAGATCAACTTTTTCAATCCTTCGAAGAATTGGAATTGGATAGCGTCAAAAGAGGACTCCTTTTTTCGAGCCGGGATCCGAAAATTGCCGGAAAGATGGGAGAAAGTTGTCGCTAGCGAAAGACAATACTTTGAATAATATATCTGTAAGCACTTTTTCGCAATAAAGCTTTTAATTTTGGAAAAAAACGGCGGAAGCAAAGTTGTACACCTGAAAGTTTTTGTAAAACGGCTTATTCAAAATATTATACCTTTGTCTAACTACGGAATAAGCACCATAATTAGAAATTTTACCGATCTTTTTATAGAGCTTGAATAATCTTCTTACTTTTCAAGCTTTTCAATTCTTTATTAAACCATAAACATTTTTAGCACGGATTGGCTCATTTGTTTCGTGAAAATGAATTTCTTCTGCATCAAGGTCACTTTGAGCACCCACAAGTACTCCACCACCAATTTTATTTTAACGTTCATCTCTAAGAACTTCAAACGGTGGCTCGTGGATTCGAGTCCTGGCCAACATTACAAAATACAAAAACAATTTTTTTCTTGCTATCGCCAATCGGCAGTGACTCTCAACACTTTCGAGTATATCGCTGAACAGAAAATTTCTTTCGAATATCCATTAGTCGTTCGGAGTTGGAGCAGTGCTGCTGAGAAGAGAGTACAAAAATGCAAAACATTACAAATTACTCTGAATTGCACGTGCTTTGGCTGTTGTAGTTAATTTGCAAAAAATGAACGTCGAAGGTATACAAATTTTGGAAATCTTCAAAATTTACTTTTTGGTATTTGAACGTGCTATAGGCAGATGTGCTCTACCTGGCAGTTTCTTCCTCAGCAGCTATTATGATCAACTGTTTTTTTATACATTTCATGTGCTTGAACTTTGGTCAGAAGTATGTAAATATCAGGTGGAGAAGAGCTACAGACCCATCAAAATCTGTACCTACGAGTTGAGTTGATTTAGCCGAGCTAGTCACTCAGTACACTACTTAAATACTAACCATTCTTTTCAGTTTTGAATTTTGGATCATAAATTTGTAAGGAGCCATCTACAGGAATGAGGTTTTATATTCTACACACGAATACACAAATAGACAAATAAACATACTCAAGGTAAATCATCGAAATCGTAGGACTACATCATATAGCCCCATTTCCACCAATTTTTCAGTTATGAGAATTAATATTTAACCCTCAAATGGTCATAAAAGGTACAAGGCTTTGGCATGGCCAAATACAGTTTTTCTTTTTTGTTATTTTTTCATTCGACATTTATTCATACTTTCGAGGGTGGTGAGACATATTATGAGCTTTTAGAACATTTTTTTTATGAACTTTCTTAAGTCTATCCATATCTACATACATACATATATACGACAAATGAATTTTAAATGACAGCAAGTCGATAAGATTTGGCATTTATACGCGCCATCCACCTGCTTTTAACATGTCAATTTCACTAGCATACACATGTTAATTACTGTTTTGTAATTATTTTTACATTTGTTCAAGTACGGCATAAACTTAGAAATTATCAGTTTGACGTTGATAGAGTTTTCTTTCTAAATTACACGCATAACTTTTAAGCGCTCAAATATATTACGTAAATAGGTATTGTAGAGTGAACAGCGCTATATATATATATATATATATATATGGAAAACATAACGCAAACATGTAAAAGCAGCTTTAAGTGAGAAAAACAAGTCTGAAGAATGAACTTACAAAAAAAGAACAAACATATATAATAAAATATTTGGTTATAAACAAATAGTTGAAATGCGAATATACATATATTTTAAAGCAAAATAAAATATACATTTTGGTATATACGTATGTGTACAGAAATATTTTTTTTCAGTAATGAACTAACGTAGCTCCCAGAAAAAGTGTGGTTTTTGTTTATAAAAAAAAAGTTCCCCAAACTGAATCAACAGTTGAGTTTTAGCATAATATTTATTTTATTGCAATAATGGAAAACGATATAATCATAATATTTACTGAAAGACTGCGTTGTTCCTTTCCGCGTTTGCTTATTAATTGAAAACAGAAATTGAGCGCCACTCACGCTCTATAACAATCAGTTTTATAATACAAGAAAAAAAAATTGAATCTAATTCGGCAAGCCAATAATTACGACCTTATCAGTAATTACAATCGATCATAAATATATACTCAGTTGCACAATATACGCACACATGGGTGTGACGAGTAAAATCAAAAATAGTATGCATATGAATCATCATTCTTATTTTTAGTGTATTACAGCTTATGTGCATAATGGCTTAATTGCATTTCACTTAAATGCATATTTGCTTAATTGCACCTTCGTCTAATAGAACTTTCACCTAATTGCACTTTTACTCAATAGCTTATTTGCTTAACCGCACTTTTGACTTCATTGCACATTTTTTATTTAAATTTTCATTTGTTTCATTTAAAATTTTTGGGTGAACTTTTTTGGGGGCTGCACGGACCAACCTTTTTTTTTTTAGTAACTTAATGTAATCGCAGTCGTGTTATGACGGTTGAGGTTCTATTTACAGTGACGTCAGTGAATCAACTGTACACATAAAATATTTTGTTTATATAATAATATACAAATAAATAGGTACATATTTATATACGTTTTTTTTGCAAACTTGTGTTTTTTATATCTTCGTATTTTTCATCTCGTTTAATCGGCAACACATTACTTCTAATTTGTATAGTGAACACATACACATATATATATATATATATATATTGGCATTTTCATACTTTCATTCATTCATTCACTTATTCATACATTCATTTGTTCGACATTCAAGCTCAATGGTCTTTGCGCATAATTCCCAGGAAGCCATGTGATAAAATTAAATTGAAAATCTATAGGAAGACTTATGTAGCAGTTAAAAGGAGCACAAAAAAGCTGTCGAGCATTTGAATTTTACTAAGGAAAATCTTTGATTCAAATTGGGAGGGGAAAACAACACAAATTGATATTAAATAAAATAAAATAAAATAAAATAAAATAAAATAAAATAAAATAAAATAAAATAAAATAAAATAAAATAAAATAAAATAAAATAAAATAAAATAAAAAACAAATTAAATAAAATAGACTTAAATAAAATCATATGTATAAAATAAAAAAATTAAAAAAAAATAAAATAAATAAAAATGAAATAAAATAAACAAAATAAAATAAAAATAAATTTTCCTTTGTGTCTCCATTTAACCATAGCATGTGTTTTAAACTTATTTGAAAATTCACCCGCTTATCATTGGCTGAATTTTATATCCTAACTGTTGCATTTCATTCAAACTCACAAAGTGATATGCATGTACGAGTATGTTAATTTTGTTTTATCAAAACTTCATTTAAATGTATAGTACATATATTTATGTTATGTACACAATCTCGTCCATGCATTTATTTTAGTTTATTTTTTTTTTTGCTCTACATAAAAAAGTCATTTGCTTACTCGCAAAGAAATTATGAGGACGGAAACTAAATCCAGATAAATG